GGCTCCCTCTGCCTCCTCGTCCTCTCTGCTGCTTTCCACACCATCGACCACTCTATTCTCATCCACCGCCTCTCCTCTCACCTAAAACATCCACGGTGCTGTCCTTGATTGGTTCAGATTGTACCTCTCACACCGCCTGCATTTCATCTCCACAAATGGCTTCTCCTCCAGCCCCCGCAACATCTTGTGCGGCATTCCTCAGGGCTCTGTCCATGGACCCCTCCTCTTCAACATCTATGTGCTCCCCCTTGGTGACATCATCCGCAGACATGGGGTCAACTTCCACGTGTATGCGGATGACACCCAACTCTATTTCTCTGCCTCCACCCTTGACTCTAAGACCTTATTAAGCCAGTCTGGAACCTTGGCGTATTGTTTGACCGTCAACTGTTCTTTCTACCCCACATCCGTATCATGACCCGTTCTGCCTTCCCCCACCTCCGTCTCGCCCGCTCCCTCGTCACCTTCAAGACCCAGCTCAAGACCCTCCTCTTCTACCGTTCTTTCGACTTCCCTCCCTGCCCTCACCCACCCCAACCCTCAGCTCGGGTCCGTAACTCTGTCTGTCCAGCGCCTTGGGGCGTCCTCCTGAAGTGAAAGGCGCTTTATAAGTGGAATTTTGTTGTTGTTCTATGTTACTTTACTCCCCCAAAACCATCTGTATTCCAAAAATGGATTAGTTCATCTGCCATTGTTACCTTGTTCAATCAATTGGCACATTCAAGTATTTAAAAAGCATGACATTTTCATGACTGAAGATGTCTCATCATTGGTTGCTACAATTTCAATAGTATTAACAAAATGCATTACTCACATCAGGCATTCTTGCAATGTCATTAGCGTTAATCCAGGAAGTTTACTAAATCGGCTTTATGCCTATTTATATTGATCAAACATTTCTTCCTCTTATATTGCATACGCTTTTCAGTCATGTTTTATGCCCTGCTTGAATTGCACCTCTTGGAAATTAAAACGTTCACACCCACTACAATTAATTAAAAACTCAATGGAAACCAAAGCAGAAAATATGAGTTAAAAATCCAGTAGTAGCTTGCTCATGGTAATGCTATCCATTTTACACTGTTGGCTAAAAATAGCAATTTTATCACTCTAACTTTCAGAATTAATGTACTTTTTCATAGCACTTTGTGTTTAAAACTTCTCATAGGTTTCACAAGTAATTACAGGCATTTGCACTAGTAAGGTCTTACCAACAGTCATTCAGTAAATGACCAATTCATCTGAAGAATTGTGGCCAGAAAAAATCTTGCATGTTCACCTGAAGAACAGCAATGGGGCCTTGACTCAACATCTCATCTGAAAGATCACACCTCCTGCAGTATAATGTACAATGTCAAAACTTGAACTCTTAATACAGGCTGGTATTCAGTGCAATACTCCAGATAAAATTGGGCATTCACCTCATGGCTGTTTGTTGGTCTTTGATTTGTGCAAAACAGCATCTGCATTTGTCTACAAAAACAGTCACAATTTGTCAAATAACTCCTGACACTATTTGTACCTGTGGGGAAACAGAAAAGGATTGTTTCTCTGGTCAAATATACCAAATGTAAGTATTAGTATTCGTTCTGGAATTGCTAATTTATAGCATCTTTTAGAACCAGAGGTAAGATCCTACGTCTGAAAATCAACCAACACAGGGTCAAAATAAATATGCGATAAATGTACATCACACCCTTTTGACCCCTGCACTCCAATCTTTAATGAACAGAAAATACACTAAGAATAATAGAACCAGAGGTGAGATCAACCAACACAGCAAGCTTGACTTCAATGGTGGGAAATATCGTTCATTATTGATAGAAAAATTCTGGATTATGTGTCCAAACTGAAAATAAAACAATTTGGAACTTTACCCACAATCTTTTAAGCCTTTATGCTGTGTTTTTTTGGGAAGGACCAAAAGTGAAGATGTAAACTAAATAGAGAATTGCTTTAACAAAAAGTGGAGAGTAGTTTTGAATGGGAAATATATTCGAGTTTGTGAGAATCTATCCTTGGTTCCTGCTATTCATAATATTTATTATGTCTGGTAATGGGAGCTTAAGCAGAATGTGGAGCTTTGCTTACAGTACTAAAGATTTGGAAAGACCAGATATAATTAAGAGCTAGGGCCAACAAGTTATTGATAAATACAAGGTAAGGCATTTTAAAAATGATCTTATTAACAGTTGGGCTTCTGTAACCAAGCAAACTCTTTGTTTGTTTGGCTTGTTTCATGAATCATATCATCCTCCTTTCATGATCTTGAAAAAGCCACCACTTTTCCCAAATTCCATAACCCTCATCACTTGAACTCAAAAAGCTTTCAAACTTGTTTTATTTTGCAATTCTATTTTTAGCAATTAGCTGCTATTTTAATATGCGTTACCTTGTGTTGATCAATGTATGATTATCATGTTGTGGGCTCTAGTTTGCTCAGCTCTGAACCCTTTCAACTAACTGTATACAGTACTTTGGAAGATAAAGTGACCAGATTTCACATAGCATTCCAAGTCCAAAACATAAACAAGATTTGTTATTCTATCCTCCATGCTTCAATTGCCTAATCTGGAATTGCAATCTTTAAAGTGAAGGTTAAACTAGGCATAGAATTCTTCAGTAATTAACTGTCAATCATTCCTTTATAAATGTAATGAGTTCACAATCAACCTGTCAAGCTCTCTTCTCTTTTCAAATAATGTTATGGAATTACTAACATCCACTTGAAAACAACAGACAGGTCTTCAATTTAACGTCTCAGCTGAAACATGGCACTTCCACAAATTTACCATTCCTCCAGAACTACACTGGCTTATCAGCCTAAACTATGAGTTTATGCCTCAATGTGGTATTTGAACTTCCAATTTTATGACCCAGGTGTAAGAGTATGATCCAATCTGAGCCAATCTGGGACCTCATCATTCCAACCCTACCATTTTCCAATTAGAGTCCTAGCTGCATAAATCAACACTGTGATATTACCATAAACAATCCCCCAGGATTGCCCAGCAATATCAGCCTGAATTGTGACCTTAAAGTCCCAATGACTTGAACCCACCATCTTCTGAGCCAAAGGCTACCAAGTGGGCCAAACTGACACTATTGGCAAGATGTTAAAGATGGTCTTTACTTTGCATTTTTTGGAAATTGCCAAGATTTACAAAAGGATAAAAATACTTTGAAGTATATATATTTTATGTCAGAGTTGTGTAATGTTTCAAAGACTATCATTCATTGTATTGTTCTGAAAAAATATACAAATTATTTTTAAAAACTAGTGTTTTGTGATATAGATTAAACAGATTCAACAGATTAAAAGTGAAAGTTTGGGAACGATAAAACTGTAATTAATATACTTCCACTCTTTTACTTGCTCCCTCTGCTCATTGAACATGAGTCTACTTAGCACCCCCTCTCTTCCATACCACCATCAATGGCCGATCCTTCGATTACTACATCCCTTATGTCTGAAACTCTGCCTCTATCCCTCTACTTGGCCCCCTCTGTCTGTCTTTAAATCCTTAAAACCTACTTCTTTGACTGTGCCTATGGTCATTCCCACCCCCACTCCCTCCCTTGCTCAGTATCCAGGGGTTTCTCCTGATTATGTGGCCAACAATAACAACAGCAAATTACATTGTATAGTGCCTTTCACATCAGGAGGACCTCCCGACAAACCACAGATAAAATTGGTCACTCACTCACTTCATGGCTATTTGCAGGACATCACTGTGTACAAATGGTTGCTGCATTCACCTACAAAATACAGTCTGAACTTTACTGAACTTCACAGTATATTCCTGTGAAGTGCTTTTGAGACATCCTTCTTTTGCATCAGGTACTTTGTAGGAATTACTGTAAGACAGTGATAATAATATATTTCAATATAGATGGATAGAAATAAATTTGCAGCACTAAAAAAGGCCATTTGGCAATCCTCTCAGATCCTTTCCCCATACCCCTGTAAATAGTCAGACAAGTAAAGAAAGGGGTGACATCAAATCCAAGACAGGCAGCACAGGTCCAATAGCCCCCATCTCCGCTGACAATTTTAATGATTCTATGCCTCAGGAAAGGGGGTAAATTGCTTTATGCAGGAACATCTCTTCCCATGGGAGGCCCAGGGAACTCATTCCCTTTCTCCAGCAGAATGCATTTTACCGCGTAATCTACGAAGGACTTTGATAAGCCTCAACAGCACGTGAAGGCGCCACGTCAAACGCAAGGTTCATTCTTACCGTTTGTTTATTCACAAATCTACGCTCGCCTACAAAATAACATCCCTAATCGCCTAATAATAATCCCTCCAAAACCAAAAACAATAATAAATTGGTCATTTTTAATCTACGACTGTTTGTGGGACATTGCTGTGCGCAATCGGCTGCCGCGTTCGCCCACAAATATACAGTCAATTCACTTTACAGTATATTCTGTGAAGCGCTTCGGGACGTCCTCCCGACGTGAAAAGCGCTATATCAAATGCGAGGATTATTATTATTATTATTATTATAACCTTCCTGATAATCATCCTCGCATTCGATATCGCGCCTTATCACGTCTTCGAGACGTCTCAAAGCGCAGACCGCAAAGCGAAGTGACTGTCTATTTGTGGGCCGCAGCAGCGCCCCACACGCCGCCCCGAACCGAAGTGACCGATTTACTAACATTGGCGTTTATTAACGGTCGGGTATCAAATCCCATCCCTTACGAGTGAGCAATTACCGCTGTGGCATCGGCACACGTCGGGGCCGAGTCCGTCGAGAGGTCGCGCTGCTCGCACAAAGCAGGAGGCGAGCGCGCACGGCTCGGGGAACGCGCACGCACGCACACACTGCACGCGCACGCACTGCACGCGCACGCACGCACACTGCACGCACACGCACGCACTGCACGCGCACGCACACACGCACGGCAGCCTGAGTGTCCCGGTGCAGCAGGAGAGGAGCCGGCGAGAGCACCGCCCGCCCAGCCCCGGGGACAGGCCAGGCCAGGCCGAGGCCAGGCAGAGGCCGAGGCCAGGATGTGGCTCGCTGCGTCGCTCTTCTCGGCGCTGCTTTTCGCCCTCTTCGACGTGTGGTATTTCCTGCGGGCCGTGCTGCACATCCTGCTGGCGGCCGCCGGGGCCAAAGTCAGGGATATTCTGCGGGAGCAAACCATCAACGGTAAGCGGCGCCCGGTCGGCGTCCGGCCCGCGGGCCACTCGCCGTGTCACTGTGTGCGTGTGGGGGGGAGAGAGAGAGAGGCCTGAGTGTGACTGACTCAGCTCTCACACGCGCCGCCTCAAAAACGCTCCTTATTAGTCACACTTATGTCTCCCTGGTCCCGGGGGAGGGGGAGAGGAAAAGAAACAAGAAGAGAAAAAGGATGAGGTCGGTCCTCTCTCTCTCCCTCTCTCTCCTTCAACCGGTCCGGCAATGGCGGCCTTTCCTGCCCACAATGCACCTGGGCTGTGAAAGCGGCCTATCCCCGCCCTGTGCCGCCTCCACCCACTGGGTGAAGCAGATGAGCAGAATAGCCCTCTGTGTGCAGATGTGTGCACACCTGCGAATAGGTATGTTACTGGATGCAAGTTTGGTCCGAAGCCTGCACCGATGGCCCGGCGAGTACAAGTGCTCCCTAGGAATCGAAAGGTCGGTTTGGATGAAGAAGGCCCTTTGGCCCCGTGTGATCTCATCCTTCCAGAACACCCGGTACCACTGACCTTTTCATCTCAGCGTCCAGCTGGGTTTTTTTTCTAAACGAGTCCAGCGTGTTTTGGACCGGGTGATGTCTGATACATGCAAAAGCCCTTCACCGTGTTAAGAGTATCCAAACGAGATTGAGAGCCCCTTATATGCCGTGTACATATTGCGAATTCTTGTGTCTGGAATGAAATGCAGTCTCTCCCTCGAGGGGCACACCCTGCGTACCTAATTCCGGAGAGTAGCAGGTTCAGGTTGACAAAAGCCAGAATGTGCAGTGGGGTATTGCTGAAGTTTTAACCAGCTAAATTCGTATAGCTTGTCATTGGCAGCTCTATCCTGGCCTCGTCCATCTTTACTGGCAGCCTTTTCCATTTCTTATTTATCTTCTGAGTAAAGAAAGACTTACTGGTGTCTGTCCTGAAATTGCAACTCTAAATCTGCGAGTCCCCCAAATCCGTCTCTGGCTTGTGTTGAGTTAATCGACCTGCCTGGAGCAGAGAGTGCTAAGAATACTATGATTGATCTCAGTACCCTCTGCCCTAGGGATTAGGAAAATGATTAGCTCATGGTCCTTCCTCAAAAATATGCATGTAGACTCGAGGGAGCACAGACCTTCGTCAGAACGAAGGACCGTGGACCCGAAATGTTGACTTTCCTTTCTTCATAGATGCTGCCTGACCTACTAAATGTTCCCAGCGACTTCTGTTTTGTTATCCATTTAGCATTGGTGGTTTGCAGGACTTCCATATCATCCTCTATTAATAGAAAAATCAGGTCCCTGTCCTCCCATAGTCAGCAAATCTGAAGGATATTTTCAATACTTTATGTTTCTCCCTTCTCCTGAAGATCCTTGATGCACATTGGCTAAATTTGCCATTAATGAATTCTATGGATTGGAAAAGTCCTAGGATTTACCATGGTTTGTACTCAGTTTACTGTACGAATTAAAACAGTTTGCCTCCATGACCCTGGGCTAGCCAGGAGGAAATTTAGCCAGTTTTTTGCTCCTGATCACTATTCAGCTGGAGGCAGTTCTGGGTGCATTTCAGGTGATGCCAGAATTGAGGGGTAGGATGTGTGTTTTTAACTCAAACCCATTGGGTCGAGTAGCCTGTCCATCACTCTGGTCTAAGCTCATACATGAAGAAGGCCACTTGACTAACAGTATGTGTGCCATTGTACTCAAGGAGAGCTGATGGGGAGTGGATGGTTCTGTAATTCTACACACAAATTTGCATGCTTCATAGAAACATGATAGCCATTTGTACTACCTCCCCCAGCAGCCAGGGGCAAGCCTGAGGTTCTTCACGCCTACAGGCAGGAAGGACAAGGTGAGGCAAGCACTACTTGGCAAGATCACTCAGCTTTGAGAATATCTGCTGGTGTTTATATCCTGCCAGTCCCAGTAGGTGGGCAGGCATGTTAGCCGAAGGCAAGGAACATTAATGAGTGGTGAGGCATAAATAATCTGGTCCAATTTTTAACTGTTTTGTACCTTGGCTTGGTATATTCACTTCTGTGCTTGTGAAGGAATATAAGTGCAGGGGAAAACACGCAGTATACAGTAAAGTTCTTCTTAGCAATGGGGAGATCTGAATTTGATCCCAATTCAGATCTCCCACTGATGAGACAGGTTCAATTGAGACCTCTTCAATCGATGCTATGTAACATGAGCTTTTCTGACTTTCTTGAGAGGCAGGAGAGAACCATCAGCCTGGGAGATTCTTGCTGGAATCAGGACATTAGAAGCATTGACACCATAAGTTTCTCATGTATGCTTCTGAATTGCTGTCTACTTGTATTGTAGTTTAGACTGCAATTTTATTGACTAGGGATTAAGTGTTAACAGTTACAGGTGTTGTAATGTGTTGTGTTGAACAGGGTACAGACCGAGCTGAACTGAATAGCTCTGAGGTTGCAGCAGACAACAACCTAGTGGACAATGAGAGATTTTATTTGGTCAGCCAAGTGTCTTAACAGATGCAGAAATCCATCACCATGCTTAGGAGTATCCAAACCCAACTCAGAGTGTTCCATGCAAACCACCTATACGTGGAAATCCCCAAGATATTTATTGGAATGGAATGCACATTCTCTCCCTGGAGGGATGCATCTTGTTTTACTAATTCCGGAGAGTATTAGGTGCAGGTTGGCAAGAGCCAAGGCTTGGGAATTCCAGAGTGTGCGTTGGGGTACTGTTGGAGTCTAACCAGCTAAAACCACACAGCTTGCCATTGAGAGCACTGTCTGACAAGCTTTCCCACTGCTTATCCAGGTAGAACTACCCTGCCTGCTAGGGCTTTGGCTTGCAGTGTTAATGGGAGCTGAGTAGGAAGAATGCCTGCCCCAATGATTGGTCTGCCCTTCAAGTCCTACTGATGAGCCAAGCTGGCTGTGCTGTCATCAGAAGTGCCCTGGAGATTAAGGGACATGGGGATAGGGCAGGTAAATGGGATTAGGTTAGAAGATCAGCCAGGATCTGATTAAATGGTGGGGCCAAATTGCCTACTCCTGCTCCTCTTTCTTATGTTCTTATACTGCGACTCCTTGTGGCTTACGAACAGGACTATCGAGCCCACCACAGAGGCTCAATTCTGACATTCCATTACCAAACAGGTAACTTTGGAGCCAGTTCAGATCCAAGGCAATTTCCACCCGCAGAGGATAGGATAGTCATAATGAGAAAGGCTCCCTGGTGTATGGGTGGGGTAGTTTATGTTACAAAGGCATTCTAATATTGATCACTTGCTCTGGCTTTGAGGAAAGCCATATAAAATGTAAAGGACCAGTCACCATGATGCTTCTTCACAGGCGTGAAGCTGATTCCTTTGAAGTTAGTCTGAATAAGATGGAAGCAGATGTTTATCAGGCTTAATCAAGGAGGAGACTTTGTCCTTTACAACCTCCAGGTGCAGGGTTCCAGCTTTGCCCTGATCTCCCAGTAGACTGGGGCAGAAGGCTGATTTTTGTCGGTGGTCACAGGGGAAATTGGACTAATTGTAAATCTGGATTACTGATTTGAAGTGCTAACTGCTGCTGAAGGGCTAATGATTACCTTTGTTGCAGAGCAATGTAGGACTGAATACATACGAGGCCGGTGCCAAAGTGGTACGCTGCGAGACTGATGCTGCACATGTCTAGTAATGACTCGCTCTGGAGGTGCTACACAATTTCTTGCGTACGCAAGGTCTGAGCCCAAGACGGAAAGCCTCTCTCGTGGAATGCTCCACCTGATGAGCAGTTTGGAGCTTGACCTGCCCAGTTGGTCGTGATGAGCAGAGGAGCTCCGCAACATGGCTCCCAGACGCTGGTGACGTCAATATGCTGCAGCTCACAAGCTGCTGTATCATGTTCATTCCAATAGGGAATTGAGCTCTTCAGCACTGCTCATTTATAGTACCCTGTCTCCAGTCCATTCCTGTTTTGATGCAACGTTAGTTGTGGAATATTCTTGTACAGCAAAATGGAAATACTTAGCACCCTGTAGTGACTATATTTTAAAGGCATTTGATACCTCTACCATTTGCCGTTCATGTGAATGATCTTTAAGCGTCACTGCCTGATCATGTTCTGCAGTGGAATATTTCAGTCTGTGAGCCCTGCAGGCAGTGTCAGCCTGTCTACAACAACAACTTGCGCATATATGTGTATATATATATAGCACCCTCCATGCAGGGTAGAGTCTCAGAGCGCTTAACAGTGGCGAAGCCTGACTCCGAGCTGGTGGTGGGTGGGGGGGGGCAGAGGAAGCAGAGGGAGCTCTGGTCACAGATAGAGAGAATATAGTTTGTGACTTTGACAAGTATAACAAGGGCTATATACGTCAATCTAATTACAGTATTACCTGAGTTCTGACCCAGGCCTTAAAGCCCTGAAAAGAAGTGCTTCTAAATCTCCTCCTGGCCTTATCCTTTTATCCTGCCTCACACAAAGTGGAAGCATATTCATTTCATCTGAATGGAATCCAGAGATGAAGATCTGAGTCATTTCCTCATAAACGTTTGATGTTTTCTACAAAGTAATTCCACATATTTCACATCTTCCCTGTTATTAAATAATTGGTTTTGTGTCTTTACCACGTCACACCTGCATCATTCCAAGTGGATTGGTCCATGACAGCTTGCTTCATGTAGACACGATACATCTCTGGGAGAAAGCACAGCATAGCCTTTCCTAAGAGGGGTATACACACCACTGTACAAGGTTGTACTGAACCATACAATCTAGGAAGGTTCATTGCTCGATTCCTCAGTTAGCTGACCTGAATTAAAGCAGCGAATTCAGAGGTGATACAATTGGCCTCAGTGACTGGGCTAATGAGGCTGGTTGGTGGGAGAGTTCTGCTCCGAAGGACTACGCATTGACTGCTCAAAAATATGCATGGTCCCTTTCCCCTTTCTCCCCCATCAACAACTGATTGTCTTCATCTATCGCATATGTTCGCATAGTCAGCCTCCCCCATTTTATTGTGCTTGTGTTTCTACAGATATCTCACTAATTATTTGGCCCTTGCTCTGTTCCTTCTCTAAGTGTGCGTTTCTTGTCTCTAATTTGCAGGTATTGTGCTGTTCCACGACATTGACTTCATGGGTCACATGAATAATTCTCGATACCTACGGGAATGTGACTTTGCCAGGTATTCACCATTTACACCGGAAATGTATAATGAGTATCTTAAGATCGATGCAGTTCATTGTGAAATGGTGTTAAAATGCCACTCGAGACTACAGCGGCCTGAAATGTGTGAGGAGTGTGCACGGAATGAACAAATGCTGCATGAGGTTCAACAAAAATAATAATAATCCTTGTATTTAATACAGCCCCTTTCAGTTTGGGAGGACCACTTCTCAGGATTTTACTGTAAAGTGCAGTGACTGGGTTTTGCAGATAAATGTTTCTGTAACTAAAAACTGAATTATAATCTACATTGCATTTATTTAAAGTCTTGTAAAACTAAAAATGTATTAGCATTTGCCACAATTAACTATCTGTCATTCTGTAGTTAATGAAGCTGTTACTCAATGGTTGTACTCCTTGGCCGCCTCCCCAGTTTCACCAACCACAAAGCCGAACTGATTCAAACTCCACCGCCTGTATCCTCCGTACACCCATCACCCCAGTCCTTGCCAGGCACCAGGATGGATCAATTTCACAATCCTCACATTCGCCTATCACTTCATGCCATGGCATCTCCCGACCTCTCCAACCTGCTCAAATCCCACGCCACTACCTGCCGTTTTTCATGTAAAACCTTTTGGTTACGCAACTCTTTTTCTCCACATCCTTTAATAACCTCACTCACCAAATATCTGACTCCTCTTTTAAACATAAGGACTGTTTTCTGTTTCTCCGTGGTTTATAGTGAGCCATTTGTGAACCAGCTTTGAGGAGTCATAACCTTAACTGCTATGAATGTGAGGCTGAGCCATCACAATTCAAGTACTGTACTTTATGTCAATAATGTACTTATGTCAAAGCTTCACTGCCTCCTCTAACATTTTGACAGTGGCTAAGGATCGGTTAACACTTCCCTCCTATAGAAACAGTCACTGAAATGTCTCAAAATACTGTCAATCAATACATTCGCTAGTATCCACTGACATTTCCAATCTACTTTGCTAACACTGTAATTTATTATTTTAAGACCTGATGAGTCAGCCTCTGTTTCTCTTGGAATTGAAAGAGCGGTTTTCATTTATCAGAACATGCACTATCTTACATGTAACTGTTCACCTTTAAATCTCTCCACGGTCTCTTCCCAACCTTACCTCCATGACATCCTCAAACTCTACTGACCCAACCCCTCATGCTCAGGCACCAACTTGCATAATGTCCCCTGTCCTACCCTCCTCACCGTCAGCAATCGGGCTTTCAGTTATTTGCCCCATTCTCTGAAACTCCATCTTGGAGTCCCTCAGATTCCCTCCGTTACCTCTTTCAAGCTCCATCCAAAGACCTTCCTCTTTCCCTTCTCCACCCCCCTCCCTCGGCTCCCATCCCCAGCTCAGGTGCCAAGCCAGGATTGTTAAGTGCCTGGTTACAGTTTATAGTAAACCCTGTGAAATGCTTTGAGATGTTTCAATGATGTGATAAGGCACAGTATCAAATACAATGATTATTACATTATACACAAAACTGTTCATTCATTGTTTCTGTTTAACTGGAGTCTGTTAGCTCAGACTAGCTTTGCTCACGGCTGTTGATTTTAAAAAAGAGTTTTTGTTTTAAATGTCGGGTAAATGATCATTCTTGCAATCTGCAGATTTTGCCGAAAATGAGTTAACAATTAATCTTTAATTGATTTCCCCCCAACTCAGCAGCAGATGCTGACAAAGTAACCGGTTCATCTTGTGGGTCAATGGGAAGTGGCTTGTTCCAGGCATTTAGCTGGGCCGCAGGGAATAATGAGGATTAAATTTGAGAAAAATATGAGCTGAACAGTTCCCATGGAAACCTAAATATAAACCTGGTTGGCTGGTCGTCCTTTAACACATTCCGAAGATGAGAACTGATGTGCATCTAAACAAGAGGCTGCGTTGGAGCTAGACAGATGATCCCATGCTCTCCTCTATATTCCTGTCCTAAACTGACAAACTCTCCAGTTTATGTAATGGTAACTGTGTTTGAAGTGAAAACCACTGAAGACACATGACTGCAGGAGATTTCCTGTCAACCTGACTCAGTTGGGAGCATTTTTGCCTCTGAGTCAGGAGGTTATGGTTTCAAGCTCCATGTTAGGACTTTGAGCTCATAATATAGGCTGACACTCCAATACAGCTGGTGGAGTGTTCTTTGGATGAGATGTTAAACCAAGGTCCCCTCTGCATGTTTGGATGGACATTAATGATCCCATGGCATTATTCAAAAAGAGAAGGGAGTGTCTCCTTGTGTCTAGTCATATCACATATGACTGTTTGTGGGACACTGCTGTGCCAATTGACTGCTGCATTTCACCTATAAAATACAAAGTCAGCTCACTTTATGGTATATTCTGTGAAGCGCTTTGTGATGTCTGAATGATGTGATGAGGTGCTATATAAAATGCAGTGATTATTGTTATCTTTATGTGTATAGTCATTTATTTACTGGACTGTGATGTATGAGATGTTGCAGGAACTTCAGATCTACTCCATACGATTCAAGTTACATTTCTATAATGCCCTTTCATGTTGTGAAGATGTGTCAAAGCATTTAAAAATGCTGGATTGGCACCTGAGCTGGGAGTAGGGAGGGGAAAGATGACCAAAAGCATGGTCAAAGTGGTGTTTCTTGAGATGGGCCTTGAACGAGGAGAGTGAGGGGTAAATAATAATAATACTCCTTGCATATGATATAGCGCCTTATCACGCCAGTGAGACGTCTCAAAGCGCTTCACGGGATACACTGTAAAGTGAATTGACTGTATATTTTGTGGGCGAAAACCCAGTAGCCAGTTGCATAAAGCAATGAACTGAAAGGTGCTATAACAAATATGTATTATTATTGTTACATTGGTGAGAATGCTGCTTCTAATCCCTTTTTGTGGTTTTCCAGGTTGTCGCTCTTTATCCACAATGGGTTATTCAAAGCAGTAAGATCCTTGAATTCTGCTATGGTTCTAGGAGCCTCAACCATACGATACAGGCGATCACTGAATCTTTTCGAGCAATTCAGGATACAATCTAAAGTAAGTGCAGAGCTTCTTCCTTAGAATTGGATTATGTTAGACCTTGCCTCTTTGTCCTTCCTATTCTTTATTAGTGTTCAATCCAAAACGGTATTGTGTGCTGCCAAAGCATTGCCTCTCAGTGGAGCTCCTTTCCATTCCACAGGATAATAATAATAACATTAGTAGTAGTATCACATCAGGATGATGTCCCAAAGCACTTCACAGGACATGCTGTGAAGGCCCACCATCCTGTCCAGATGGATGTTAAAGATCCTGGCACTATTCAAAAATAAAGGAGCTTCTCCCAGTGTCCTGGCCAACAATCTCTCAGATAAACAAAACACAAACAAATCTCTTAGATAAAATTGGTCTTTCATTACATGGCTCTTTGTGGAATATTGCTGTGTGCAAATTGGCTGCTGCTTTCGCCCATAAAGGTTGAGCAAGTTTTCTTATTCCACACGCCTCTGTTTACCTAGCAATAAGTAGGAACCTGGTTGTTAGTCGATTAGCAGGTCGCTTTTCCAGGGACATTAATCCTTCAAAAAGAATAATAATTTGGTCACTCAATCCACAACTGTTTGTGGGACATTGCTGTGCGCAATTGGCTGCCGCGTTTCACCCAGCAATATACAGTCAATTAACTTTACAGTATATTTAAAGCTCTTTGCGACATCTCAAAGGTGTGATAAGCGCTATATCAAATGCATAGATTATTATTATTTAGTGTGCAGGAGTCGGACAGGAGTCCCATAGTCATAAATAGACCTAAATAACCTGCTCTTATCCCTGCATTTCCTCTTCTCCCCCAGCTGAGTCTCTTCTGTGGATCTAACACTCACTGACGATTGACAATTTTCTCTCCATTAAAATTTTAAGTGATACAATAAACCAGATCTTGGCAAGCATTTCAAAGAGGCACTTAACTAAGAACAAACTATTTATAGCTCAGTGAAGGAAAAGCACTGTCTGGCAAGCTTTCCTGCTGCTTGTTCAACGAGGACCATCGTGCTTTGACTTGCAGGGTTAAAGGGAGCTGATTGGAAGAGTTCCTGCCCCAGTGACTGGGCTGGCCTTCCAAGTCCTACCGATAAACCAGGCTGTCATCAACAGTGCCCTGGAGTACTGTATACCTGCCTGCCTCTTCAACTAGATTACCAAGACACCATAGAGCATTGGCTCAATTCTGACATTCCGTTGCCAAACATGTCAACTTAGAGCCATTTCAGGTCCAAGGAGACCTTACTTACCTCCCCCCCATGGTCAATAGTTAAGAGTTGGTCATTTGACATCCTACAAGCACAGGTTTGACAACTCACAAGATGGATGGTGGGTACCAGGAACTCCCTGTGAGCTTCCTGCGCAGCATGCAAAATGCATGAGAGTATTGCCATTTCTTCCTGCCCACAGCTAAGACACACGGGCCAACCTTCTGTGCTGTGATGCCTACGATTCTATGCATTTTGATTGTCTGTATGCAGATGCTGCCTCAGGCTGGATTGTTGCCCAGAGATCACAGCAAGGGGCTGGTAGTGAGCAAGTCTGGGTCATCTGATAGGTATTAGTCAATTAGGCTCCATTGTGAGGAGCTGAGGTTAGAAGTAATGGATCCATGTCAGTTGCGGACAAACAGTGGCACAAATAAAACATTAAGAATTCATGTAAGGAACGTGGTATGATTAACAGTGTGGTTCAGTAGAGAATAGATACAGAAAAAGGAAAAGCAATGAGATGAGTTATTGGTGTGATGACTAACATAGGTTTGTGCAACAATCCAATTGGAGCTATCCGCCCAGAGCAAAACTCCCAGTGAAACAGAGACTTTGATGTTCTCTAAGCCAATAATTATTGTTTATGAATAATTACCCAATAAGTATGTGTTTGCTTACAAAATACACAGTTGCAACACTTTAAGATGCTGCAGTATATTTTGTGAAGTCGTTTGAGACATCCTCCCATGACACTATTTGAAAAGAGAGAGGAGTTTCTCCTGGGGTCCTGGCCAGCTACCTCCCAAATACAAAAAAATGATCATACGTTTCATGGCTGTTTGTGGGACATTGCTGGGTGCAATTGGGCTGTTGCATTCACCTACAAATATACAGTCACTCCATTTCACAATAAATCCTGTGAAGCGCTTCACACACCAAATGCAAGGATTATTATTTTTATTTGTTGATTGATAGCTGATGGGTGATAGATACTAATGGATATGTGATAGGCAGCAACTAATAGATAGGTATAGGTAGTTACTAAGGATGTTATTAGGTGATAGGTGGCGACTGTTGGAGAATTTGACTGCAGTTTCCATGAGTTTACAAAGTACACTTGTGAAGGACAGCAAGGCCGCAGGGTAATAATTAGGGCTGTTTCTAATGTCAGATATTCTGATCGTTACTTCACACTGGCAGGTAGCCTGAAGCTGTTTCCATTAATGCACAGCCTCTCTTGCTCACTCCTGTTCATAAAGTATTACTGTCAAATCCATTTCCATGCATGAAGTGCAGCACCCTCTTAGCTAACCACTCCCATTTCAGAAGAGCACCTTTACCATATGTACTATATGTGAAATGGACAAAGGAAACCCATCTTGTCCTTTACCTCTTAATACTTTGCTCTTCTCTCTGTCTGTGCAGGGTGCACGTGTCAGTGACCACCGTAAATCTGCCAGCACTCTCTGAAATGAGCTGCGTAGAAATAACTGCCTCAACAGGCTTCTTTTAGTTCTTTCTCTCACTGACGCCAAGGACAACCCTTTCATAGTTATAATGCACAGTTGACTCAATTCACCGCTGCCAAATTACAACTCAAAACTTAACTTTAATATAACTTTTTGGATTGATGGTACATTTGATGGCAAAAGATGGCATCTCTTTGCATTGATGCCCAGTGTTAGCTTGCATTGGCAGTCAAGCAGCAAAACTTATTTTAAACAGGCTTCACAATAATGCGTGTGTTTCTTTTATGGCATCCCTGAGCCACCTCCAGTGATATGGTTTATAGTGGGTTGGTGTTGCTGCATTAATGTTATTCATCCCATTCTGCAGCAACTAGAATGGACATTTTTCACCACTTTTAATGGGAAGGGTTGAAATAAGTGACACTGAAGAGACACTATTGCTGTTTAGTCAAGATGCTAACTGTCAGGACATTTGGCCTGTAGGTTGCAGTATTCCTGTGTATGGCTTACCCTCCAGCGCCTTGCGACGTCCTCCTGACATGAAAGGCGCTATACAAATTGTAGTATGAGGTGCCAGAATAGTTGCCAAGGATTGAAAATTTGATGCTATCACATTTTTGGTCATTCATTTCATGGCTGTTTGAGGGACACTGCTGTGTGCAAAATTGGCTCCCAAGTTCGTCTACAAAATAGACGGTCACTACACTTGCCAGGAAATCCTGTGAAGCGCTTTAAAACGTCTTCCCCCTATATCAAGTGTAAGGAATCTTATTTTCTATTATTAATCGGGCTTGGTCAACGAATCCTCACGTGATTGTGTGTGGAATCAATTCTGTACACAGTAATGTATGGAGAGTTTGCTGGTTTTAAGGCAGTTTGACTCCCCATTATTGAATTAGCAGGTGTAAGTACATAAATAGTGCCCATAAATTATGGTTGTACAAGCTCCGTGTCCCTGTGAAATGGGACGCGTTTGGATTTCCACAGACCCATTAAACTATTGCTGTGATTCTTTTTGTGTGTCCTCCAATAGGATCAGTGCTATTCCCTGATACAGGCCTGCCATTATACTTTATATTATATTTATATTATACTTTAGTTAATGTATTTAGCATTGAGTACTCAAAGGGTGGATTACACTTTAACTGATAATTTAATGTAATATTCCTTGCATTTGATGCAGTGGTTTATCACATTCTTGAGATGTCTCCAAGTGCTTCACAGGATATAGTGTAAAGGGGAGTGACCGTTTTGTGGGCAAACACACCAGCCAATTTACACTTAACAATGTCCCACAAACAGCCAATAATGAATGACCAATTTTATGTGGGATTGTTGTCCAGAACACCGGGNAAAAAAAACCTTCTCTTTTCATTAGCACTGTGGGATCTTTAATATCCACTTGAACAGCTACAGGACTACAGGACTAATATATATGCTAATTATCCTTGCAGTTAGTATAGTGTCTTATCATGTTGTTGATGTCTCGAAGCCCATCAGAGGATATTCTGTAAAGTGATGTGCCTGTGAGTATTCTATGGACAAATGTGTTGTATGTGCTGCTGAAGTGAGCCCATTGGTATGTAATTTAGGAATTTGTGCTCCTAGGATTATTTCTGGGCTGGTAGCCTTCCCTCCCCCAAAACACTTTGTGCTGTCGTCTCCCACGCGCGATAGCTCCCAATAATGTTTATTTAACCTCTTCTTCTCCCTTCCCTCCAAATAGATACTTTGCTGGGATGAAAAAGCTTTCTACGTGGAGCAGGAGTTCATCTCCCGCAGAGACAACTTTGTGTGCGCCACCATGTTGTGTCGGCAAAATGTCCTGCGCAGCTCACCAGACAAGTTACTCCAGTTCCTATGTAAAAGGAAGGTGGAATGTCCAGATTTCCCAGAGGAGGTGCAGTCCTGGATCAACTACAACATGGCCAGTAGTAATAAGCTGAAAAGGGAGAGAGATTACAACACTGACCCAAAGCAGCAGTAACCCTGGAATAGCACAGGCTGTGGATTCTTTAATGTTAGTCGTATACAAGTCTAATGCTGATATCCTGCTCTAGGCTGAAGTTCAAGCTTTCTGTACCATTTAACTAATTGTTTTTCTTTGTTTTCCTCAAAGGATACTGTTTACAATTGCTGAGCTATGATTCATGTTGCAAAGTCATTTAGCAAAACTGCAGGTAGCAAATTCACTGTATCTCAACTGTTCTTGTTTCAGATGTTCAACATATTTATTGTTACTGACCATTAGAATTATTTAATGAACTCAGGATGGGAGGTTCATCACTCAAGTCAATGTAAATCGGATGTTACAGTCTTTTAACCACTAAAGAATGGCTAAAATAGCAAGAGTAGCAAGAGGGCATAAGATAATCACGGGAACAACAAATTATATTTGTTATATTTATTTTATTAATTTATATTTGTTCTAAATTACGACGAGAGGACATCCCAAAGTGCTGAAAGATAATCCTTACTTAGAGGCTGATTGAAATATGGTATAATCTGCCACAAATCATTATAGAAACGCCTATACATTGCTGTGAAAGATACTGATTCACCCGAAGCCAGTGAGAGTTTCAGATTGAATGGTCCATTGTTTATCCCAACTGTTGAGGCTATATTCAGCAGCCCTTCAATATCCCATTGCTAGAGGGAGGGACAATACCTCCTAGGAGGTAGTGGAAATATTCTGATTATTGGAGCTCATTGATGTTGCCCTTCGATTATGTTGTAACTGCCCCCATAGCTGCTTACAAGCCTTATGCGAATTGTCAAGCAAATGCCACCCATTGTTAGTTATTCAAACTAAGAGTTTAGGAGCTATCTCCTCGAATGTAGTAGGCATTATTTGTTTTAGTGAAGGGTGACTTTAGACCGTTGTGAGGGGAGGGATAGAGTCAATGTATACCATTTCTGAGAATGCTGCGGGTTGAGAGAAAGGACAAGTTTCCTTAGCAGAATGTTTTTAAAGGTTTCAGTTGGTCAATTGGATCACGGCAAGCTAAACACCGAGACGTATACAGGGGTCCACAACAACAACTTGCATTTATATAGTGCCCTACACACAAAGTAGCGTTCACAGTGGCAGAGTCTGACAACGAGCCAGGGGGTGAGGGATTGGGGAGGTGACCATAAGCACGATCAAAAAGGATGGTCTTCAGGTGGGATTTGAAGGTAACAACATCCTGTTACCCTCATGTTTTTTTCCTACAGTGCACTGACCAACAACTGAAACGTGGAAGAATGGTGCAATTGTAGTTACTGAACTGGATTCAGTACAAGTCTTTAACTATATTTAAACGTCTAGAGGTGTGAGTGCCATAATTTTGACGACTGATAATGATCCATCACCATGTTCGGTGCGACATCTTCTGTAACATGGATGGAGTGATAAGGTGGAATGCACCTCTGACAGCTTGTTTCAGCTCCTCTGTAGTCTCGTATCGCTGTTTTGTAACAGGGGGGTAAGAGGACTTTGTGGACACCATGTATATCATTTGCACTTACAATTAGCTCTTGTGTTAATTTCAGGATTGGGATGAGTTCTGAGAATTGAATGTATTTCCTGATAAGATCTGGAAATGGCAGTCTTCACCGCAGGGTCTGGAACCCACTGTGATTGATCAGCGGGTTCCCCTTTACTATTTTGAGTTTATATCAGTTTTGCAGGATATATTTTTGTGGTACCACCAAAAATGTTTGAAATCCAAAGAATCTTCTGTATTAATTGAGTACTTTAACTTATTCTCCCATTATTATATGGCTATGGTCTCCAGTCTTTCAACCCAGTCTCTCGCCCGGAAACTGGCACAGCACTTGTTAGAATGGATATGGTCCATTAAGTACCAGGGGGTTCAAGAGGTGTCATTTTCCAAGCTCTCTGCACTGGTTTCCTGGCCTTTTACAAAGGTTGGTCTCAATATTACCAGGTGCAAAGCAATCATACTGCATTCCAATTGTGACGACCACTTATATCCCAAGTTACTTCAGCTTCATTTCTTACCTCTAGTTGGTAATCAGGATCATCCGAATGTTTTGTTCATTGAGTAGTGAAGAACTGGAACAAGTAGGTGCCTTGTTCCAATGTTTACTGGTGTGTGCATAAGGCATAGATAGGAAAATGAGCAGCTTTGTTGCATTTTGTTTTATTACAAATACACAACTTTTTTTGCACTTTTAATAAATGATGTTGCACTGAGAAATATACAATGCCATCTTGAATGTTTATTGTGTGAAATGCAGAAATAATTTGTTCGTAATCTGAAGATTGTGAAAGGAATGTTTGTTAGTAATTTATTAAACTGGAACCTGTGCATGGCCATGAAATGAGTTGTTAATTGCATTTATTTTAGTCTTTGCAGCATATTTCTGCACAAATCAACCAACTCTGATCAAAATTGATACATCTGCATGTTACAATAATAATAATCCTTGCACTTGATATAGTGCCTTATCATGTCATTGAGACGCCTCAAAGCGCTTCACAGGATATACTGTAAAATGGATTGACTGTGTAGATTGTGAGCGAAACGCAGCCAGTTTGGTTACAGCAATGTCCCACAAACAAAATCCTCGCACTCGTTTTCAAATCCCTTCATGCCCTCGCACCTCCCTACCTATCCGATCTCCTTACCACCCCACCACCTCCTTCCGCTTGGCTGTCTCTAGCCTCCAGTTTGTCTCTTGTCCTCTCCACCATCGGTGGCCATGCCTTCAGTCACTATGCCCCAAAACTCTCTCAATCCCTCCACCTTCCCCCCTCCCCACTTTCAAATCCCACGTGAAGACCTTTTTGATTGTGCCTCCTCACTCTCAAATGTAAGGATTATTTATATTTATTTATTAATTGTGATATTGTGCCAAACTGTAGTTATTGGATCTGGTTAATTTTTAGGTCGTCAGTATTGGACTTCAACTCAATCACAATGGTTGAAACTAAAGAGAGCAACACATATTGTCTACCAGCTCTCCGACAACATTGGAATAACAGTAAACTCTTGTGGAGTCCTGTAGCTCAGTGGTTGAGCACTCGCTTTGCAAGCTAGAGACCTGAGTTCAATTCCAGGCAGGGCGAAACCTTGGGCAAGTTTCCTTACTCCACACGCCTAATAATAATCCCTCCAAAACCAAAAAACAATAATAAATTGGTCATTTTCAATCCATGACTGTTTGTGGGACATGGCTGCCGCGTTCGCCCACAAATATACAGTCAATTCACTTTACAGTGTGTTCTGTGAAGCGCTTTGGGACGTCCTCCTGACGTGAAAAGCGCTATATCAAATGCAAGGATTATTATTATTATTATTAAACTAAACAACTTCAGGCTTGATGTTTTGGGTGATGTCCCACTACTCAGCAGCCCAGTGCCTCAGGCTGTCTTCAGGCACAACCGGTGCTGGAGTTGGCCAAGAGGGACAAGGGTCACACACCAATGTCTTGAGTTATCCACCTCAGTTTGCAGTTTTCATCTCGCAATTGTGAATAGTGTTCGCTTATGAACGGAATGAACGTCAAGTTGCTCATAACAAAAAAAAACAATTTTTTAATAAAGAAATGCTTCCAAAAGTAAATTATAGTGAATTGTTATGAGGTCTTGTTTTAGTATGGAGTTATGGATCAATGCATTTGGCAAACAGATAAGCCAAAAAGGTTGTTTTTTGAGGAAAATATTGTCATAGAACATGAACATATAATATATAAATTGCATGGGAAATGAGTGAACTGGAGAGAACAGCCCAGATTTCAAACATTTTCTGGATAATTTACCACTGAATTAATGCCAAATTTTAAAATGAAATAAGCTCTGGTATTCATCTCATCATGTGCTACATACATATTTTCACTGTGTATTCAGTTGCAGCTTAATGCATTCACAACAGGCCAAAAGTTAGGTTTATTTATTATTTTAAGTACTTTAGCCATGGTGGTATTAACAAATCATATGTTGTACAGAAATGACTCACAAGTTTTGCACTGAAATTTGGACACTTTTCATGGGAAGGAATATTTGGGACTTTGAGTGGCACAGATTCAAGCCCCAGAGCTGAGAAATGCAGAAGTTTCAAGAAAGATAAACACAGAAACACAGTGGAGACTTGAGGGTCAGAAATGAGAAGGACGTGAAGAACAGGTAGAAACCACCACAAAGATAACGGGAGTCCCGAAGGTCAGAAACAAAACAAAACATGAACAGAGGGGGACGTCCCAATATAGACATGCACGTAAAAGACCTCAAGCTCAGAAAAAACACGAATATGAAGGTTAGTTAAAGGTAGGGTGGGGCCAATCAAAGACAATGACCGCAATCTTGTTGTGGAGGCAGAGGGCATAGCTGATGTACTGAACGAGTACTTTGCATCTGTCTTCACAACGGAAATGGATGCCCCAAATGCCGCAGTATCGGATGAGAGGGTAGAGGAAATAGATCAGATTAGACAGAGAGGAAGTTCTGAAAAGATTGACTGGGCTCAAAATTAATAAGTCACCAGGACCAGATGGGTTTCACCCAAGGTTGCTGTGTGAGATACGGATTTAAATAGCGGAGGCTTTGGCCATTATATTTCAATCTTCATTGGACACAGGAGTAGTGCCAAGAGACTGGAGAATGGCTAATGTTACCCCCCTCTACAAAAAGGGGCAGAAAGACAAACCTGGAAATTACAGGCCAGTCAGCCTAACTTTGGTAATAGGAAAACTACTGGAGACCATAATCCGGGACAAAATAAATCTCTACTTAGAGGAACATAATTAGAGACAGCCAACATGGATTTGTTAAAGGCAAATCTTCAGGAAGGACATTAAGGCATTGGAAAGGGTGCAGAGGAGATTCATGAGAATGATACCAGGAATGGGGAACCTTAGCTATGAGGACAGGCTGGAGAAGTTAGGACGTTTCCCATGAGAGCAGAGAAGGTTACGCGGGGACCTGACAGAGGTCTTCAAGATCATGAAAGGTTTCGACAGGCTAGATAAGGAAAAGCTGTTTCCGCTGGTAGGTGTGTCTGTGACAGTCTTAAGATATCTACCAAAAGAACCAGAGGGGAGGTTAGAAGAAATGTTTTCACTCAGCGAGTTGTTCGAATTTGGAATGATCTGCCTGAAAGGGTAGTGAAGTCCGATTCGATAACAGCTCTTAAGAGAGAACTGGATAGGTATCTGGGGAAGACGGGTTTGCAGGGTTATGGGGAGAAAGCTGGTGATTGGAGTTAGTGAAAGTGACTTGCTCTGTCAAAGAGCCGGCACAGACTTGATGGGCCGAATGGCCTCCTTCTGTGCCGTAACATTCTATGAATCTATGAATCTATGAATAATAAAAAAATAAAAAATATGGTCACTCAATCCACGACTGTTTGTGGGACACTGCTGTGCGCAATTGGCTGCCGCGTTTGGCTCACAAAATACACAGTCAATCCACTTTACATTAAACTCTGTGAAACGCTTTGATACGTCTCAACAACGTGATAAGGTACTATATCAAATGCAAGGATTATTATTACAGAAGGAAAAGGGAAGAATTGAAAATGTAACAGGATCCAAAATTGCATCTCTATTTTCTTCATTTTCACGAGATGGATGACTCCTCCAGAGCTGAGCCAAGGATTGAACCAAGGACTATACAGCTCAGTCATGTGCAGGGCAAGCTGGTCAGTTACCAATGCTTTACCTTACAATGGTTTAGATGGAGCATGGGATACTGTGATGAGCCAACTAGACATCAGCCTGGCTCAGATGGTTAGCACTTTTAGCTCTAAGTCAGAAAGTTGTGGATTCAAGTCCCATGTTGGGATATGAGTTCAAAGTCTCAGTCGACACACCAATACAGACTTGGTGACGTGTTGCATTGACAGAGGCGCTGTCCTTTGGATGAAATGTTAACCGAGATTCCCGTCTCCTGCTTGCATGGGTGTCATAGATCCCTTGGCCCGATTCTAAAAGAGAAGGATTTTGCTCTCAGTGTCTTGGCCAACAATTCTTCAAATAAAATTGGTCATTGACTTCATGGTTGTTTGTAGGATCTTGCTGTGTGTCAATTACCTGCCACATTCACCTACAACTACAGTCACCATGCTTTGCTGTAAATCGTGTGGATAATTTTGAGACATCTCAATGACGTGATCAGGTGCTACGTCAAATGCAAGAATTATTATTATTTATTATAACGGAAAGGGAGCTAATTACAAAAGAAATCAATACCGCACCTAATAATAAACAGACATTTTCTAAGACCTTAGACATCTGTGTTTCCAACTTCCTTATTCATCAAACTTTTACTGAATCTGTGCATTACCTAGGCATCAGGGTCCTACCCCATATCTAATCCCTGAACCAGGATCGCTTTCCTCCACCTCCACCACATTACCTGCCTCTGATCGTTCCTCACACTTAACATAGCTGAAACCCTTTTTCATACATTTGGTACTTCCCCTCAACAGTCTCCCCAGCTCCACCATTCACAAAATCCAACTAATTTAAAACACCGCCAACTGTATCCTCACCCTCAACAAACTCCATACCCCCATCACCCCAGGCCTTGCCAGGCTCCACTATTCCACTATTGTCCCTATTCCAGAACGGATTGACTTCAAGATCTTCCCTCTGCTCTACAAATCTCTTCATGCCCTGGCATCTCCCTACCTCTCTGATCTACTTACACTCCACTACACTACCACCTCAGCTGGCTCTGGCCTCCTGCATGTCTTTCGTCTCTTCCATTCCAAAATTGTCAGCCATGCTTTCAGCCATATGCCCTGAAACTGAAACACTCTGAGACACTACCTTGAGTGGAGGCCGCAATATAAATTGTTATTGAAACTGTCTGCCTCAATCCTTTTGCAGGCCCCATCTTTGCCGGTTTTCAGATCACATCTGAAGTGCTCCGAGAGCCTACCCCAAGTGAAGGGCACTAGAAGAATGTAAGATGTTGTTGTTGATCAGCTTGTCTGGCCCAACAATGAGCCTTGTAGCCATATCTTCAATCCTGCAATGTGGTCCGAACAGATCAAGCTAGGAAAAGCTAGATGGTCAAGACATACCTTGTTGACCTTACTTTTGGATATCTTTCTCCCTCCCCAGCCCCCAACCTCAGATGCGAAACCAGCAGTTTGAAACGCTTTAAAATTACTGACTTAGTAAATGAGAAATACAAATCAATGTTTTCTTTCAACTTCTAAAATGGTAAAAATTCCCAGAAACATGAATTCTCACTGATTTCATTCATTGAGTTGTTGTTTGGTGGGTTTCACACGGCTGTGACTGTAGTCAACGGAGGCAGCCACACTGTCACATGGGGAGTTCACTGACATTCAGTAAAGGCTAAACCCAGAGAACTCAAAGGAGCAGGACATTGTGAATAGAAAAAGAAGGTTTTGGAAGGTATAATAATAATAATAATCCTTGTATTTGATATAGAGCCTTATCACATCATTGAGACATCTCAAAGTGCTTCAACAACAACAACTTGCATTTATATAATAATAATAATCCTTGCATTTGATATAGCGCTTTTCACGTCGGGAGGACGTCCCAAAGCACTTCACAGAACACAAACACTTGCAAAGCGAGTGCTCTAACCACTGAGCTACAGGACTCTGCGCCTTTCACACGGGAGCGCTTCACAGAATATATCGTAAAGTGAATTGACTGTGGGTGAAACACAGCAGCCAATTGCACACAGCAGTGTCACACAAAATATTTATTTATTTTGAAGGCATTAATACCCCTGGAAAGCAAATCTACCAATCGCGTTAATCCCCATAAACCCCCTAGTACAAGACTCTTGGTAAGTATTATGCTAGGGGTCTAAGTCTTCCGATCTGGGGTCTGGAATCTGGGAGACTTGTCACTCAGTACACTGCCAATTTGCCAGAGTTAATGCTGAGCACGAAACAACCATACATACCAAGGCTTGCTAAGCTCTTGTCTTATCATTAATCGCTTGATCACCACCAAACAAAGTGGAACTGATTTATGGGCAAATCATAGACTTTTATCAAACCACCTGGGCTCTGTATTGCTGGAATTTAAATTCAGTTCTGCACTGGGCTGTGCCAACAATTGAAGGGCACATTGCGGATCAAGGGACAATATTCACTGGAGCGTCTGAAGGGATAGCAATCAGATTGTGTTCACAAGTGGCAAGTAAAGCATTTGTCTAGCTCCCTCCACACGTTTATATTTCGATCTGCATTAGGAATAGAGATTAATCCACTTAAAGGGAAAGCAAGATTTTCTGAAAGTTGTTAAATATTGTCACTCCCTATGCTAGTCAAGGAATCACATTACTCCTGATGGAGACGTAAAAATGATCCAATGAAAATTTCTGCACAGGGACCCCAGAGTGTGCTGGGGTACTGTTGGAGTTTAACTAGTTTAACTCGCTAAAACTGCATACGCGCTTAAGTGCTCCAAGATACTACCCTATGTGAAGGGCGCTATATAAATGTAAAATGTTGTTGAGAAGTGTCTCACTGCCTATCCAACTAGGACCACCCCAGCTGCCAGGGATTTGGCTTGCAGGATAAACAGGAACTGAGTGGGAAGAATCCTTGCACCAGTGATCAGTCTGCCTCACAAGTCTTGCTGACGGATCAGGCTGGCTGCCCTCTCATCAGAAGTGCTCTGGAATACTGCAGACCTGACTGGCTCAGCAACAAGACTACCAAGACCGTCCCAGGAGATTGATTTGATTTTCGATGTTTCCTTGCCAATGATGTCACCTTCTAGCCAGTTTACCCCCCAACCCCATGCCCCCTCAGAGGCTAATCACAAGAAGGTCATTTGAAAAGTGCAGGATTCAACCCTCACTAAGTGGGTGGCAGGTGTCAGGAACTCCCTGCGAGCTTCCTGGTGAGCAACACTGCCCAGCTTGAAATGCGTGAGAACATTTTGACTTAACAGTTCATTACATCACTATTGACATCCCTTCCTGCTTTGCTGCACTTACACAGAAAGCCAAAAGTGACCACGTTTGGTGACTGATGACTGGGACATCAACCATTGTTTCTTTTAGTGTGGGAACCAGCTGGCAAGCTCCCAGCTTGTTTGAAATAGTGCCATGTGGTCTGTAACATCCACCTGATGGTTGTACTCAGATAATGCCACTGATATTTGGGTATTGCGGTGCGGGGACAAAGCCAGATCCAATTCCTCCATGGAGAAGGTGGTGGAACGTCAACATGGTGTAATAGCAGGGGCTTCATTTGGGAAATAAAAGAATGGGATGTTAGCAGTCTGTGATATTACAGCACCAAGATTATTGCAATTGAGCAGCCAACAGGCAAGTTGTAAAGAGCAATTTTAAAGAAGCTACAATAGATAATGTGGTAACCAGTACAGTAAAGATGTGAAGCCAAGTGCTAAAAAAAACCTGTATGCTGTAGAAATGGTTTATTCCTTGTATGAATCAATTTATATAAATGGATATTATTGTTTTATTGGAAGATTTTGTGATAGCTAAGAGGCTGTTCCAAATGCTTTTTTCATGCCAATAAAATACCCGCTGCATCTGTTATAGTGAAAAGATCTGCATTTGGATTTTAGATCATGCTTGTTTTTAGTCAAAGAAAAATAATTTGCAGTGCTAAATGCACTACTGCACCTTCCCCCTGTATTCAAACATGCCTCATAAGACATTTTACTGCAACAACACAGCTTTAAGACGCATCTTGGGAATTGGATAGGTACTTAAAAAGGAAAATATTGCAGGGCTATGGGGGACTGGGACTAGATGATAGCTCTTTCAAAGCTATCATCTATATATATATCAGGCACGATGGGCTGAATGGCCTCCTTCTGTGTTGTAAGATTCTATGATTCTATATAACTTGTTTAAACTAGTGCAAAACTCAAAGAAACATTAAATCATAAAATATATAAAAATGTTTTATTCACATCCCGGTGCTGACATTCAATTCTCCATTAAAACTACATTGAATCCTGCATAATTTCACATAGTGAAAGATTTAGCATTTCGCTTGTCGATACAAATGCAGACTCAGCGACATTATGAAAATCACCATTTTCATAATATATTGAATCGAGAACAAACTAAAACTGAAAGGCAGACATCTATAACATGGGATTGGGATCATATCAAGAACACTTGATATTAGCATTGAGTTAGGACTAGTCACATGGAACTGTTGCTGTGTATTGATCATACTGAGATGCTTAACAGCAGTACTTCTACACTCTGTGTTTGGTGTATGGAACTGAATCCGTATCAGGGTCTTATCAGCAATTTCCCACTACAGAGTGACCCCTGTTGGAAAATGTATGTGAGGGCAGAGCTGGGTTCAATTGTGATGTCCTCAGTGGCTGAACAGTATGCTTTCACTAACTTTCTAGCCTCACACATGAAGGATGGTCATTTAGGCTAGGTACTGAAGTGATACTATTGAACATGAGTCAATTTCAGCAAGGGCAGGAAAGAAAAATCTGAAACAAATTGGGAAAAAGAAAATCCAGTTGTCTGTCTTATTTTTTATTTACAGGGTAAATGATTTGCAAGTAAATGTTAGTGAGCACAAGGCTCACAGAAATCTTTTATATTGGAATGTATCAATATAAAAATCATGTGCTCTTATCCTGAAGACAGCCGTGTTACAGAGGGCAAGTTATTCTCTGCTTCTCTCAGCACGTGGTTGTAGGTGAGATTAATCCTTTGTTTTGGTGCAGTTGTACGGTTTCCACCACTGGGAGAAGTGCAGCACTTTCTTCCTCTGGTCGTCAAAGTTTTCTCTCATTGGCTTCCGCCATCGCCTTGGCTCCAGATCTAACATGCCACCAATAATCTCCTTAAAAGCAAGGAATGAAGAGTCAAGCGTGCAATCATTTTACTTTAAATCATTTTAGGCTAAAATTATACTTATAATCTCCCATTTGTATTACTGACTCCAGGCCCCAATCCCCTCCCACCACATCTTGATCCTGGAAGATAAGGTGAGGAATAATCTCTACTCCCCTTGAAATAGCATCGAGATGATTTTTGCTTCACTTTGATTTTTCTCCCTGTAACACAGCACAAGGCCAGGGAGTGATGGCTTGTACAGAACACTCGTCCAGCCTCAGCTGGAACACTGAGTACAACTCTGGTTGTACAGTAGAAACACAGAATCATAGAAATTTGTATGACAGAAGAAGGCCATTCGGCCCATCGTGTCTGGGCTGCCTCTCTTAAGAGCAAATCTTTCAGTCCCATTTATCTGCTGTTTCCCCAATCCCTGTAGTTTATTTCTTTTTAGACACTTACCTATCCCATCACATACAAATCACTTCATGCCCTGTTACCTTCCTCCTTCTCTAACCTGTTTACACCTCACTTCTCTACCTGTCCCCTTGTTCAACTCTAGCTCTAGCCTCCCTAGTGTCCCTTGTCCCCTCTGCTCCATCAGCCACAATGCCCCGAGACTCTGGAATTCTGTCTCAATCCCTCCGCCTTGCCCCGCTTTGTCTTCAGATCACACCTGAAGATCTTCTTCTTCAAACATGCCTATGGTCACCTCCCCTCTCCGGCTCGGCGTCAAATATCCAAGATTCTATAGGATACAGCTATACTAAACCCTAATAATAGACTTGATGTAACTACAAACTCTAGAGGGGTATAGACTAAAACTCAAAAGAATGAAGGTAACAGACAGTTTAGACTTAACTGGTGAATATATAGAACAGACTGTCCTAGGAATCAGTGGAGATGATTAGGATTAGATTTTCACCTCCACTGGCAGGCTGGATAGATTTTGGATAATAGAAGCAATTTAGCAAAATAAGATCATATGATATTCATACAAACCTAACCCCTCTCTCTCGTCACAAAACTGAACAATTAGCACTCCTCTCTCTCCCCTGTTCTTTCCTCTCTCCCTCCCTCTCTTCTGCCTTCTGCCAGACTCGTTCCTATCACAGACGTTTTTAGAAACTAGAGTACCATAGTGTAGTGGTTAGAGCACTTGCCAAGCAAGCGAGAGGACCTGGGTTCAATTCATGGGCAGTGTGAACCCTTGGGCAAGTTTCCTTGCTCTACATACCTGTTTATCTAGCGGTGGGTGGAAAGTTGGTTGTTGGGGTCAATTGGCGGATTACTTTCCAGGGGTAATAATCCTACCCGTTCCCCCCCACCAGATAGCAGTTTGGTCATTCAGTCCACGACTGTTTGTGGGACACTGCTGTGCACAATTGCCTGCCGCATTTCACCCACAAAATACACAGTCACTACACTGTCCTATATTTTCTGCGAAGCGCTTTGGGATGCATTGACGACGTGGCGGGTGCTATATCAAATGCTATATCAAGGATTAGGATTATTACTCATGGAACTTTTCAGCCAGAATTTTTCCTACATTTTAAGATGTCATTCCAAGAAAAGCTTCATAATTACCGTGCATCGCAACACAATCTTTATAAATAGTGTAACATCAAGACAACCCGATTTGTTATAAAACCCCATTTAAATAGCTTTACAGGTAAATTACAAATGTAATTTTGTTGTTGTTGTATATTAATAATAGAGAGCAAGGCATCTCACAGCTGATGGAATTCTCATTTTAAATGAAATACTTTGAATAAAGATGCAAGTATATTTGAAAAGCAACACTTAAAATTTTAAGGTAAATCGTCGATTTTGCAACAATATATTTTATGCTAACCTTAGCCCCAAACTGTAAAGATGTGTTCAGCACAAAATTTAGATTCTATGATTCACATCTAATTTGAAGGGTCACATTCAAATCACAGTATCTTAGCAACCTGCAATATTCTGTCATCAATTGTAATATTACTAGAATCTAAACTATGGAAGGGAAAATGAATCTGCATAAATATTTACCTAAATAGGGTTTTTTTCCCAAAATGATTTTATTCTCAGACCTGAGAAATTTATAGTCTATTAACATAGCGATTCGGAGAAGCGGGGCAATAAAATAACAATTGCTTTATTAAAAAAGATACATGTCATATTTCTGTGGATGTTAAGAGTTTAACCACCCTCGTTCTTCTGCAGCATGTCAGTGACAAATGGCACAAAAAGCACAATATATCTCTGCTTCCTGTGAATTGGGATTATATGCTGTATTGCAGGCAGGAATGTGAGGATACAGTTCCCCCAAATTGCCCGCAGTAAATATAATGGTGCTGTCTGGAAGGTTGTAGAGTGGGTCTATACAATACACTGCGCTATAAGCAAGGCAATGTAACACACATCCCCTGTAGTAACAATTAAATGGACAATAATGTAAATCATTGCATTTTGCTTCTTCACCATCTCAAAATTTAAATGGGATTTACATCAGCAAGTGCTCCGAGACGCTGCCCTGTGAGAAGGGTGCTATATAAATGCAAGTTGTTGTTATTGTTGTTGAACTGGGGATGGGGACTGAGAGGATTGGGGAGGGGAAAGATGACCAAAGGCGGGGCCAAAGAGTTAGGTCAAGCTGGATGGTCAAGACCAAAATAAATAACAAGTTCCTAAAAATTATAAAGATTAAAAAGATTCAGGGTTATTAGATGATAAGAGGGCTATCTCAAAAGAATCTTTCGGAAAGTTCGATGGGTAAGCTATATAGACCAATGGTCAACATTGTGCTTTTTTTTCTATTGGTTGAAATTTTGCCATTTATGTAAGCATAACTGTCATAGTTTGTTCAATTAAAGACAAGTCACCAGTTGTTAGGATTTACCTTTCCAAAATAAACAGGAAATTTGTGTTCATTTTCAATGACGTGAGCAAATCCTCCTTGGAGTCCAAAATCCACCGAAAAATAGGGCAACCCTTTGGGAACCTGAAAGGCATTTTTATTAAAATGATTCATAGTGCACATTAGTTTTACATAAGGCTAGTTTGCCAAAAGTCTGCAAACTACCTGCCTGTCTGAAAGAATAGAGACAATGTCAGGATTGAAATTTTCAGAGGCTATGTGGCATCATCTGTGAACAATGGGTTACAGTCTAACCCAAATGTCGGGATAAAAAGTTTTTCATTGTACTTGCTATAAATAGGCAGCTTTAAGCCATATGTATTGCTAATGCCATTCGTAATACCACACAAATCCAAAACCTCACACATTGATAACCCAAGAATACTGGTAGACAAAATGTATAATTGCGACTAGGTGCTCTTCTAAGATAAGATACTAAAGTGCTACACTGGGCAATTTAATTTTTTTAAAAAAAACAAGCATGATGGAAGCAATACTATACTTCCTGGGACAGAGGACAGGTAAATAGTATGCTCCCTGCCAATGTCACTCATTATTAACTAGAAGGTTCACAATAGCAGGAACGGCAGGCGGCCTCAGAATCCCCTCGTTCTGTTCGCTGCCAAAACAGGGAAACCACTATCTGGGCATTTCTAGTGGGAACAAATAACCTACCTTGCCATGTTACACAGTGTTGAAACACAACCAAACTATGCTACCTAAAACATTTGGTTGCAGGTCTTTTAAATGGAATTTTCACTGCACATGAGATGCGTTTTATTTTATTAAAAAGAAGCCTCAGAGAGCAGAAGTCAGCTGTGTGGAAAAGTTCAAAAAAATCTTTGGACGAAAAGTGAGGTAGGCAATAAAATAAATCTATAATTTGCTTGTGATTGGGACAGGCTGTAAGGCAGGCAGCAGTAACCTTTTGGAAGTCATGTCTTATTACTCATGAATACTGATGAGACAGATGTGGTGACTAATTGATTAACACTATGTCTAGGACCGTAAACAATAGATTCTTATTAAAATGATTTAGAGCACATTAAAAAAAATCAATTTCAAATATTGGATATGTTGATGTAATAAGGTTAATCACTAATAAAAATGCAAAGATAAATCACGATATATTTATAGTTTAGTAAAAACTCTAACGCCGAGTTCATCAAATATCACCAGACAAGACAAAGAACAAGAATATATACATGTACAAGGTGCCATGAGTTTGCACATTTGTCGGGTTTCAACTTTAAAGAATGACCTCTGTAGCCCACTTACTATCAAAGGGGGCTACCACTTTCAACTGCATCCAAGGTTGCTTGTTCATTGCAAGCCCATGTGGAGTATGCTGTTTCCCTAGCCTCCCCCCATACTTCTCTAACCCCTTCTCTCTCTCTTATGTCTGCTTCAACTTTCCTCTTAAATACATCAAGCCCAGCTTCTGGCAGTAAGTTCCACATTCTCACCACCCTCTGAGTGGAGAAGTTCCTCCTAAAATCTCTTTTTTTATCTATTTTATATTTATGTCTCTTGCTACAGACTCACTAACAAGTGGAAAGAGTATTTTGTGTTATTTTAAATGCCCATATCAGGTTCCTTCTCAATCGTCTCATCTCCAGGGAAACAAGCCCCAACTGATCCAGTCTTTCCTGATAGTTGAATCCCCCTGTCCCTGGCAACATCCTAGGAAATCTATGCTGTGCTCTCCATTGCCACAATATCCTTCATGTATTCTCTTCCATTACCAGAAAATAAGAATCAGGTCTCAAACAAAGCAGTACATTGCAGTCATATACATTTCAGTAATGTCCATTAAATTAGATGTAGTAATCTAAAATATTTGTGGATAAACATCAGCAGGGATGATAAATTTGATTCATTGGACATATTAGCTGGAGCAGCTGATCAGAGTTACGAAGAGGCTTTAGCTCTGAACTCAATAGAAACATATAACTTTGTGATTATTAAAATATGAATTGGATTGCTGTTTGGCAATGACGCAGAACTTGAAATCTCAATCTAAGATAAATTTTATATCTGCTTGCTAGATCAAGTCATGGAGCTAAATTAGTTCCAGTTTAGGATAATTTGTTTTGGTCCATGAATTTAGTTCTTCCCACTAACAGGATTTACAATATGTAGGCTTGTAAGAGGTAAAAAGCCAACAAATTGAAAAAGGATAGAGCCTAGAAAGCATAGGTCTTCCTTGCAATAGTTATAGTTTTGTTTTCAAGTTAGCTGGGTATCTAACACATACGGAAACACATTACCTAGCTTACAGTGTCCAAACCAAATAAGAGTTCCACATATGTATGCCAACTGCACAAGGATATTTCTGTGTTCGGAGTGGAATGGACACTGTCTCCCTGGAGGGTGCACTCTGCTTACCTAATTCCAGAGAGTATTAGGTGCAGGCCGGTGACAAAGATCAGGAACCCTTCAGTGTGCGTTGGGGTACTGCTAGAGTTCAAACCAGCTAAAACTATATAGCATGCCATTGAGAGCACTATCTGGCAAAGTTCCCACTGCTTTTCCAGATTACCTACTTGCAGGGTTAATAGGAGTTGAGTGGAAAGAAGTTTGATTTTGAATGATAGTTTTTTTAAGCAAAATGAAATGGCCTAAAGTTTTACTTAGAAACAGGTTTAAAATGAAAAGCAATCAGAACGTATTACCCAATTTCTCTCACAGATGCTGAAGTCAAGGTAATTTCTGCAGTGCACTTTAGGACAGATAATCATATCCAATTTTTAGTCAGCACTGGATATTGCAGAGGAAATGTAACACAAAAAAATGTCATATATATATGGAACTCGAACAGTAGTTTTGTGTGGATACTCAAGGTGACAATGGATTTCTATGTGACTGAGCTAACAAATAAACCCAACACAGGACTGTTAAAAGCTCACAATGGCTCCCATCAGTTCTGCAACTGCCAGAAATCTGCAAGGCCAAATTGTTTGGATGAAATGATGTTACTCACAGCTCTGCGGACATCCCTTGTGGACAAGTCAATCAGTTTCTTGTTCATGGTCCATTCTTCATCAGACTCCAGTATAGCTTTCTTTCAAAAGAGTGAAAAAGGGCATGTTTAAATTTTCAATGTTGAGTCATTATTTTGCAAGAGGAAAAAAAAACCTTCCTTCTTTGAATTCTTCGTGCTGAAGATTGTTGCAATATTTCAGTGCATTTCAGTGTTCAGCTTTTACCACATTTAGCAAATCTTTCTCAGTCTAAATAACCAATAATATTTTGGTAGTAGTTGAAATCATTAACAGCATTTCATTGTATAAAAATTATCAAATTAAAAGCTTGTTTGGAGGTCAAAAATATATTTTACATTTGAAGGGCTATAATTTTCACAATATTTTTCTGACATACAACAATACTAATTCATTTTTTTTAAAAAAAGTATACTTTGTATAAAAGAGAATTTTCAGGCTAAAGTCCTTCCCTCCCTTTTAGGACACCCCACATTAAATAATAATAATAATAATAATCCTCGAATTTGATACAGCGCCTTATCACGTCCTCAAGATGTCTCAAAGCACTTCAAAGGATATACTGTAAAGTGGAGCGACTGTATATTTTGTGTGCAAAATGGTTAAAATGTCCTAGCAGTGTTTAAGTTTCTGTCTGCACACAAGGTGAATGAAAAACTAGACAAGTGTTACCAAGGTGTAAGGAGTGGCATGCTTTTTCCCCCTGAATGACAATTCAAAGCAATTTCCCAACTCTGTACCAGCCACTTCACTCTCTTTAACAAAACAGAGTTTCAACCAAAGTTGTGCAACATTTATCATGTTCATTTTCCAAATGTTTGAATTAGATGCATTTATTGACATTGGATTTCAGGTTTAGATTTTGAAATTCTAATGGGAATTTTTTTCAAAATGCGAAATGATTTGAAATAATTGATTTTTGCAAAAAGATGGAAATAACGTACCTTTCATATTACTATGCAAATATATTCTGGCTATTAAAATACCTGTGAAGATTATTCATCAATGTAGGATTCAAGAGAAGTAATTTCAGCCCCAGAATTTTTTCTGGGAGGTATTTGTTTGATTACCGTAAGATTAATGTAACTAACTGAACTTGTCTATAACCAGTACCTACAAATTCAGGGTTTACCTTGAAGTAAATAGGAGCCATGTCTCCCAGTTCCTTTGGAAGAGGAATGCATTCATACACCATGTGAAAGTGTTTTTTCAAATGCATGTTGGTCTCAAAGAAGACACAGTCAAGGCCCTTGTCTGCTAACATTTTCACCAAGGCTTTTCGGAATAGCTGTTAAAAAGGCATATCCAATGAATAGACAACAACAACACTTGCACTTATATAGCGCCCTCCACGTCAGGCGGCGCCTCAGAATGCTTAACAATGGTGGAGCCCAAGGCCGAGCCAGGGGAGGGAGAAGGTGACCATAGGCACAGTCGAAGAGGAAGGTCTTCAGACGTGATCTAAAAATGGGGAAGGAGGGGGCGAGGCGAAGGGGTTGAGGGACGGAGTTCCAAAGTTTCAGGGTGTAGCGGCTGAAGGCACGGCCACCGATGGTTGAGTGGAGGATTCGGGGGACACGGAGGAGGCCGGACCAAGTAGAGTGGAGGCAGCGGGTTCTGCTGTGGGGAGAGAGGAGGTCAGAGAGATAGGGGTTGCCAAGGAATGGAGGGATTTAAACACTAGAGTGAGGATCTTGAAGTTGACCCGCTCTGTGACAGGGAGCCAGTGGAGTTTGGCAAGGACTGAAGTAGTGGGTATATGAAGTTTGGTACGGGTGAGAATGCGGAATGGTTTGTCTGAGTTTTGAATGAAACTCAGACAAACCAAATAACTTTTAAACAACCTTACCATTCCAGTCTCATTTATAACTCTGCTTGGAAATACAATACTTCTCTATTTTTGGTACCCAGAATCAGCATCAACTTGTCCCAACTCATATATAGCCCTGGGCAGATGCAGAATAAATCAATATTTGTTCTGCTTCAACAACAATAATCTAGTAGTATAGTATTTGCTATAGATCCTTATCAAGTCATTGAAATGCCTAAAATACTTCACATGATTTTACTGTAGTTCAGTGACTGTGTAGTTTTAGGTGAACATAAACCCAATTTACACACAGCAATGCTTCACAAAAAGCCATGCAGTGAATGAGCAATTTTATCGGGAAGACTTGTCCAGGACTCCAGGAGAAACTCCCTTCTATTTTTGAATAGTGCCATGGGATCTTCCACCTGAACAGGCAGAGTTGTAAAACAACTCATCTGAAGGATGGTAACTGATAATGCAGCACACTGCAGCACTGGAGTGTCAGGCTAGACTTCACTGTGAAACAAGAATAACTTGCATTTATATAGAGTCTCAGGGTGAAACACCTAATGAGGAGCATTTACTGTATACGTGTTAACATGTAAGATACATATTCTGCTGTTGCATCCTGGTCACCCAAGTTCTGCCATGTGCAGTGTGTATATTGTGTAAAAGCACATTAATAGAAAATTAACTTATTAGCAATTACCGTTTCTACATCACAATGAAAGGTATAGGATTGGAGAAGAAAGCTCCTCTCTCTGTTATTAATGGCTTAAGTGAAACAGATCTGGTCAGACTGAACCCTATTCCTAATGAGATGTCACAGCACAGTGGGGGTCAATTCAGGCCCAGTAGCAACAAAATGTTGTAATTCTCACTTTTTTCCCAATAGCGCAAAGGTTTGTGAATAGTTAGAGAAAGGGACAGAATCAGAGAGACAGTCAATGAAAGACAGAAAAGTCAGAGAGAGTTTGGCATAATATACTGTTCTGGTGGGAAGCACAGTGAGGCGGGGGAGGGGTTGGGACAGTGATAATGAAGTTAGTCAATATTATACAGTTTCGACCTTGATTTAATATGACAATAAAGCATCCTGATTAGAACAGTCCTCTTAAACAGAGATAAAAAATAATTGATGATGTTGCTCTGACCTGCATTTCCTCCCAGATATCTTCATCCAGTGCGGTACCTGCAGTGTGATGCTGGAGTGGCGCTATCAGGCAATGACCTTCAGTCAGTGACTGGCAATTGGGCAGACACAAATACACCTGGGGAAAAGACATGTTTGAATGCAAATGAGGACCAAATACACTGACTGCATTTCATTACAATAAAATGAGTGAAATGCTTTATTTTGCCAGCTGAATATTTCACAATCTGTTTTGCTTTATCCTGATGCAAAAGTCTATTGTTGTGTATCTTCTCATTACACCTCATCTGAGTAGAAATTCTGAAGTGTATCTTATTTTACATCAAAAATCACATTAACACATTTTTGAACTGTAATGTTGTATAGTGATCATATCATTCCCAGGTAAATCAGTAGGGATTGTTTTCACAGTACTCATTTATTATTATTATTATTTATAATAATGAATAATTATTAATAATTATTATTTCTAATATATGTAGATCTCATCAGCTACCAGTATCTCCAACAGGAGTTGCTAAGAGTAAAGAAGTCAACATGGATTGACCCCCCCACCCCCAACACTAATAATAATAATCATCCTTACATTTGGTATAGCACGTTTCATGTCAGGAGATCGATCATCCCTAAGAGCTTCACAGGATTCACTGTGAAGTGGAATCATTGTGTGTTTTGTAGGCAAATGCGGCAGTTACTGATAACAGACAAATGTTGTTTTTTTTCCAAAGAAAAGAAGACATTCATATTGTGAATGATAACTCTCAGAGATTTTATATAAATTAAGCTACCACCACATCTACAAGTTCCATTTAAATGATTCAAATGCCATGCCTGCAAGAATCATTTTAAAGATAGCTCTCAATTCAACTGTTTTTACATTCAATGTGACCAGCACCAAATATGGAGCACAATCTACTCTGATAACAAATGTCCTCAACTATTCTAATTAATGCAGATATTCAGCAGAAAATTCCATTTCAGCTCTTATTCCTTTTGCAGTAGCTTTCAACGATTTTCTGCTTTTGTACATGATCTCAGTGATGACCCAAGAAGCCAAAAAATTGAAATTTAATGTTATCAAAACCAGAAAAAGTCAGTAAAATGGCTCTTAATCTTTCATTTTAACCCTTTCTTTCTGACAAATAAGAAAGGACAACATGTTTTACTTTTGAGAGATTCTAATAAATAAGTGCCTTATTGTGCTTCCACACGGCCATGGAGAAAGAGATCTAAAGGTGAAGTGAAGTTTAAGAGCGCTTTTTATTTAAAGCACTCCTCCTATTCCGTGGTGAATACCTAGCATTAAGTGGGAAGCTGATTGTTAGTCGAATGGCGGATCGTTTTCCGGGGCAATAAACCCTTCAAAAAAAGCAATAATAATTTGGTTACAAATGTTTATGGGACATTGCTGTGTGCAATTGGCATCACATTTTGCCTTCTAACGATTCAGTCAATCCACTTTAGAGTAACTTTTGTGATGGGCTTTGAGACGTCTCAACAACGTGATGAGGTCTATATCAAATGCAAGGATTATTATTATAATAAAATGAAACTTCATAATACTGTAAAATAAAGGGTAAATAAACTGTTCTGTAACTTATTAATACACATACTAAATCAGATGTAACACACAATAGTAACAAAAGCATTCCTTTTCAAAACGGACACCAGACCAGCTGGATAATGGAATTGTTTTCTTCTTAATCTTCCTGACATCTACTTTAGTGCAGAAACTGCTTGAGATTTATTTCAGTTACCTTTATACCAATAGCAATGATAAGGTGTTTTGGAAGCTCGGGATTGTCAAAGCAGTAGTGGCATTTCTCCATTCTCCCAGCTAATTTCTTGTGCTCACTGATAGCTTTATGTCGCTGCCTTTCATCTTCTTGGCCTGATTGCTCTTTCTTGGCTGCTTTCGAGACAAACATGTCATCCAGTGTGTAATAGTCCCGATCCATCTTCTCCATAAACTGCAGACAAAGAAAAAACATTAGAAAATGTCAGAAATAATAGCTGCAGCAAAAGTGGATATTCTCTGGATCAGTTGACCTTTAACCACATAGGTCACACACAAAGAAGATAGGAGGCACTGAGATAAATGTAAAGTGACTGTCTTTATTTCACAGGAATTTTTCCCCATATCTCACCGGAATAACAAACAGAATTCTAGGGCTTCATGTGCACTACTGCGACATCTAGTTTAGTGACACTGAATGTGGAATGTACATTAAAATGTATTTAAGTAGTAGCATTCTTGCATCCAAGTCAGAAGGTTGTGATTTCAAGCTCCACATTTGAGCTCACAGTCTAAGCTGACACTAGTGCAGAGCCGAGAGTGCTGCATTGTCAAGAAGTGCCATCCCTTAAACCAAAGGTCCCATGCTTTGAGACTTTTCGATAACATTATATCAAATGCAAGGATTATTTAACTCACTAAACACAAAGCTTTTCTAAGATCTACCATGACTTAATATGTTTTTTCCTTCCTCTTCTTCATAAAAACATGCAAAATTTGACTAATAAAAATAAAAAAGGTGCAATTAATTTCTCTCTCTCAGTTTGTCCTATTAAACAAAGAAGGCAACAATTCGGTGAACAGTGCTGCATTTTGAATCATGGACAAATGATTCAATCTGCTTTTCAATTGCTTAAAATGACAACACATGTTTTGTAAACCACAACTACTTCTATGACTCAAGGAAACAGCTGATTCTTGCCAAAACGATTGTAGTGTGTATAATCTGACATTGAGTGGGTTACATCCTGACCTACATCTGGGATCCCATCACTTCTCTCACTCCCCAGTGCACAGCTACCTCCTCAAACACAAACAATTATACCAAAACCGCAAAAAGTTACTAAAAAAGATGTAGATGTTGTGGCTTTTGTGGGGACAAACTTTTATATTCTTTTCAATCAAAGATTTTATACCCCAAATCTGTCACGGGAGCACCTCCCCCCTTGTACAACTGTATGGTTTTGTATTTTTAGTTCTTTTATCTTTACTTCTACTTTCTCATGATGGTGCTACCATTCACTGGCTTTATTGTAATCTACATCAATCCGTACTGTTCTGATAATTGTATTAATTAATGACAAGGAAGCATATTTTCTCATCGCGTCAGTCTGCCTTTCTGTCAAGATGCAGAGAATCTCTGACCCCAAAATGCTTCTCTCACGATTCTCTCCATTTGGAAGCCATTCCATTTTCTTATTCCCTTTGCTTCATGATTGGAAGCATTGGCTCCTGCAGTGAGATACTGAGCCAAGTACATTTACAGGAAGGTCCTAATCTTGTAGGGTTAAATGTCCTGTCATTTTACTAGATTAGTAAACTTCATTCCTACACCACTCAGCTCAGTATCTCACTGAAGCACATCTGTGAAGCGCTTTGAGATGTCATATTAACAAATGCAAGCTCTTTTTTTAAAAAAAATGCAGTGGTGCTTTAAAATTTATTTGTCTTCAACATGATACAATAGGGACTGGAAATATCAATATCCCTCCCCCTACCCTGAGATTTTTCAGCAATTGGTCCAGCATTAACCATGCCCTTCAATAGAGCTTAAAATGGGCTGTTCATAAACAATTTACAGTAATGCATAGTAGGAACCTACTGCAGTAAAGCTACCGGCCCATCTCCAACCTCCCATTCCTGTCCATGGTCCTTGAACGATTTGTCGCCTCCCAGCTGCGCTCTTTCCTCTCCACCCATTCATTATTCGAACCCCTTCAGTCGGGTTTCCGTGCTGCCCATAGCACAGAAACTGCCCTGGTCAAGGTCACCAATGACATCCTGATCATCTGCGACCAGGGATCCCTCTGCCTCCTCATCCTATCGGCAGCATTCGATCCGGTCGACCACGCTATCCTCCTCCACCGCTTGTCCTCCCACCTCAACCTTCAAGGCCCTGTCCTTGAGTGGTTTAAGTCGTACCTCTCCCACCGTCTTCACTTTGTTTCCACGAACGGCTTTTCCTCAGGCCCCCGCACTGTCTCGTGCAGTGTCCCTCGGGGCTCTGTCCTTGGTCCCCTCCTCTTCACCCTCTATATGCTCCCCCTTGGTGACATCATCCGCAGACATGGGGTTAACTTCCCCATGTATGCAGATGACACCCAACTCTACCTTTCCTCCTCTACCCTCAACTCCACGACCACCGATGTCCTGACAGTCTGCCTGTCCGACATCGAGTCCTGGACGAGAGACAACTTTCTTCAGCTCAACGTGCGTAAAACTGAGGCCCTCCTGATTGGCTCACGTCAGCGCCTCCGCACCTCTGGCGCTGACAGCATCAGCATCCAAGGCTGCACTCTCCACCTCTCAAAGCCGTCAGGAACCTCGGGGTTCTGCTCGACCCTGAGCTGTCCTTTCTCCCTCATATCTGCGCCACAACTGGCACCGCCTTCCATCACCTCCGGAATATCACCAGACTACGGCACTACCTCACCCCTCACGCCGCTGAAACTCTGGTCCACACCTTTATCACCTCAAGGCTGGACTATGGGAACTCTCTCCTCATTGGCCTTCCCACCACCTCCCTCCACAAGCTGCAGGTCATTCAGAACTCTGCAGCTCGTGTACTGTCCCGCACCAGGCTTCGGGACCACATCACTCCCACCCTCGCTCGCCTCCACTGGCTCCCCATCCCCCAGAGGATCGAATTCAAGATCCTCACCTACAAGGCCATTCATGGCCTCGCTCCCTCCTACCTCTCTGACCTACTATCCCCCTACCTACCTGCCCGTACCCTCCGTTTCTCTGGCTCCGGTCTGCTCCACATCCCCCGCCCCAACCGCCCTACCATCGGTGGTCGGGCCTTCAGCCTCTCAGCCCCGAGGCTCTGGAGCTCCATCCCCCAGTGCCTTCGCCGCCTCCTCCCTTTCCTCCTTCAAGGCCGGTCTCAAGACCTTTCTCTTTGACCGTGCCTTCAGCTCCCCTCTCGACTCTCTACCCCCTCCTCGCTCCCTCCCTTCCCTCCCCTTGACCATTTCCCCCCTCCTCGCTCCCTCCCTTCCCTCCCCTCACCCTGACCATTTCCCCCTTGCTCGGGTCCTGACCCAACTGTACAGCGCCTTGGGACGTCCTCCCGACGTGAAAGGCGCTCTATAAATGGAATCTTGTTGTTGTAAAAGAAAGTGGTCTCAGGAGCAAAAAAAAACCCAGTTTCAACAAGGGATAAATTAAAACCCTTGACCTTTACTTTGCAGCCTCCAGATTCCACTGTAGCTTTTTTTCCTTCCCCAACATAGACACAGTAAGGGCACTGATATTCAAAATACTCTTCTATTGAATCTGGTATGTGATCTCTGCAGGTCTGTTCTGCAAATCAAGTCACAACTTCAGTCAGGTTTTCTCTCTTTCAAGTCTTTGTTAGTGATACCTTTGATGATGATGATGAGAAAGGCACAAATACCAAACAAAAACAAAATCCATTAGTAGTCTGATTTCAATTTATGATATTAATGATCCCAAAACACAGGTGTCAAAATTCTTTTGGGATTCAAAGGGTTTTTGCCCCCCCAAATAGTTAAATGATTCATATTGATCTGGGCCCATTTGTACAATACCTCCTTTGAAACTGTGCCTTTTAGTTTTATGCTTCCAATGACTGATAAACCAATCCAATTTCCGTCATTCATATAGTACGTTAATCAATTGAATATTTTCAAACTGAACATGCTTTAATGTCACAAGCCACCATCACATACATCAATGGCACAAATTGATAAGGAAGCTCATCTCTGAATGGAACGTTTCTGCTTGAAAGTTTGCTCTAATTCTAGTTCTGGAAAGTTTACTCTATTGTCAGTCCAATTCGCTTGAACTTTTTTCATCACAGTTCAGAAAGATCAATTTAGTAAATCTATTTGATCCATTTGCAAACACTTTAAGAAGTGATACAACAACTTTGCTCAGACGGTATTGTGTATTAGAGTTCACTGCATATTTCTTCCTTCTTGCTATAGCACAAATGAACCTATTTTGCATCATATTGCAACAGATTCTGCTGTCTTTTTCTATTCCATTCAACTAAAAAGCAGAATTGAACAAATAGATTTCAACCACTCTTAACATTTATGTATAACCATGAGTTATATGTAAATAATGAAAATAAGATTATGTATAAATAATCTTGTTCTTTTTTCTGCTGATGAAATCTTCATCAGGACTCAAGGGGAAAACATAACATCTTATGACAATCATTTATATAGTATCTTTAAGCATAGAAACATTTATTTTTCCTATTTAAACATAGCTAGGTGATGCGAATGGTCGAGAGCTTGGGCACTAATTTGCAATGATACCTATCAACAAGAGTGAAAGCTTTTTACAAATGTTGATGATTTCATGTTATCCTGTGCAAAATATTAGCTAAATTTTCATGTCCATATTCTACAAAGACAGTTCAATAATCAAGGGTCAATGGATAATAAATCCTACAAGTAGTATAATAATAATCATCATCCTTGCATTTGGAGTCCTATAGCTTAGTGGTTAAAGAACTTCCCTCGCAAGCGAGAGGAACTGGGTTCGATTTCCTGGCAGGGCGAAACGTTGGCATGTTTCCTTACTCCGCACGCCTCAGTTTGCCTAGCAGTAAGTAGGAACTTGGTTATTTGTCGATTGGCAGATTGCTTTTCCAGGGGTAATAAATCCCCTTCAAAACATTTTTTTCTTTTTAAATAATAATTTGGTCACTCAATCCATGACTGTTTGTGGGACACTGCTGTGCGCAATTGGCTGCCGCGTTTTTCGCACAAAATATTCAGTCAATTCACTTTACAGTATATTCTCTGAAGCGTTTTGAGACGTCTCAAAGACGTGATAAGGCGCTATAGCAAATCCAAGGATTATTATTGTTATTTGATATATTTCTTATAACATTGTTGAAACATCTCAAAGGATATACTGTAAAGTGGATTGACTGTGTATTTTATGAACAAAACCCAGCAGTCAATTTGTACACAGTAATGAATTAGTATAAAACACGGTATAGCCAGTACATCTTTGATACTCTGTTAAATTAACCTTCCTAAGAAAATTCACATTGCTGAAGTTTTGGAGTTTTGGAGTGCCCACGTAATCCAATTTTTTTCTTTGTGGAAACACTAAGAATACCCATCACTGAATGATTCCTGCCTTTGACAGGATAAGCATATCAGTTCTTGGCCAGATTGCTAAAAGTGAAGCATTCCTTTTGCATTTCATGGGAGGGAATAACATCAATAACATGTATCCAATGGGCTTTTCAGGAAGTGTCTTTTGCACAAAAAATGCAATGCTCACAGACTCATTCTCCTGTCTGAAGGAGAATACTGCAGTATTAACCCACAAAGAAAAAAATTGGATTACGTGGGGAGGGAGGATATGGATTCTTTGTAAATAAATCAACTTTAATACTTCAGTCCTATCAAATTGTGCTGCACAATCTCCATTTATAATGCTCTTTTTGCAGCAAACTGGCTCAGAAATTGCACAATTTTTCTATGTAAAGTGCAGTAGAACAAATGAAAAACTCAATTTCCAACCACACTGCATTCTCATCACCATTGCAGCATGAAACTTCTATTATAGTTTGAATTACAGTGTAAAATTACTGAATTAGAACATTATTGTTTGTGTGCAGAATACTGGGAAATATTTCACAAATGGTTCCTAAGCAGGAAAATTCTGTGATGTTATTCAGTTTATTTAACCTCATTAATTCATTAATATATAAATCACAAAAAATACAGTAAAATACAAGTGAATCTATTGTTAGAATCTCAATTTGGACAATATAGTGAGGTTTATTTTGAAATGATAAAACAGGAAACTGGGAGAGTTAACACATTTTTGAGCAAATCACTGACTACACATTTAGTAGACTGAAAAATTATCAGAACTGATCATAGGTATAAAACCTATGCCTATTTAGGCATTGACTAAATAGATTCCACTTATTGCAAAGCAATATGTGATATTTGAACAGTTTGTTCAAAAATCTAAAATGTGGCAAATTATTGTTGAAAGTACAGATCTACAGAGGCAGAACTTTGTCTTTTGCTGCACAAAATTGAAATTCAGTGGTCCATCCATAAATATCTGTTATCCAGTTTTCTTTCAAGATATATTTGTATCCCTATTTCCTACTTCTGCCCCAGTCTAGGTGTCTCGGTTGTCTTTCTCATTCTGGAGAGTGGGGCAAACTGGCCCATGAATCACTCTACAAGCCTCCATGAAGTTCTACCTTCTGTACCCCCAATATCCTGGTTTATGATTGAGTTCCAAGCCCAAGTACAAAGATCACCATCAACAACAACAACTTGGATTTATATAGGGCTTTCACATGAAGTAGCGTCTCAGAGCCCTTAGGATCAGCGAACATTCAGCTGAAACTAAGGCTTGTACATTGCTATGAATTGGTTACTGATTGGTCAAATATTTTAAAGAATTGTAAAATATTGAGAGGAATTTCTGCATAAAAGCCTTTTACAAATTTGATTTAATCTTATGAAGGTCAATAATCATGGGGGTTGGGGGCTGTGTTGGTGCTGCAATAGATCAGCACATCACACTTCCATCACCGAGGTTTGGGTTTGGGGTCCCAGACTGTAAACCACTTGTGTGAAAGTCAGAGTCGGCACAAGTCCACACCACTAGAAATCAATACCATTCACCTTTCATGTTGTGAGGACATCTCAAAATGCTTTACATTGCTGGCTGGGCATCCAAGGGGTAGGAGCTGAGGGGGAGGGGAAAGATGACTAAAAGTGAAAAAGAGGTACAACTTGAGACTTGATGTGGGATGAGGGGAAGGAGGTAATTATTAAGTTTGGTCAACAACAACAAAATTACATTTATAGAGCGCCTTTCATGTCGGGAGGACATCCCAGGGGCTGGACAGTCAGGGGTCAGGACCTGAGCATGGGGGAGAGGGAAGGGGTGAGGGAAGGCAGAGAGGTGGGAGGGCAAGCGAAGGCATGATTGAAGAGGAGGGTCTTGAGACCAGCCTTGAAGGAGGCAAGGGAGGAAGCGAAGCGAAGGGACTGTGGGATTGAGTTCCAGAGTGTGGGGGCAGAGAGGCTGAAAGCTCGGCCACCGATGGTAGGGTGGGTCGGGCAGGAGACATGGAGCAGGCCGGAGCCCGCTGAACGGAGGGAGCGGGCAGGTTGGTAAGGAGTCAGCAGGTCAGAGAGGTAGGAGGGGGCAAGGCCATGGATGGCTTTGAAAGTGAGAACGAGGATCTTGAATTCGATCCTCTGAGGGTTGGGGAGCCAGTGGAGTCGGGCGAGACACCCAGGTTCCTGACTGATTTAGTGAGGTTGAGTGTGCAGCCTTGGAGGCTGATGTTGCCAGCGCTCGAGTTGCGGATTCGCCGGCGTGAGCCAATCAGAGGGCCAAGTGCTGGGATACCGAATTGAGATAACAATAATCCTTGAATTTGATATAGCACCTTTCACGCCAGGAGGAAATACCAAAGTGCTTCACAGGATTCACTGTAAGGTGTACTGACTGTATTTTTATAGTTAACATGGCAGCCAATTTGCGCACAACAATGTCCCAGAAATAGCCATGAAGTGAATGACCAATTTTATCTGGAGGATTGTTCACCCTTACTTTTCGAATCGCATCCACCTGAACAGGCAGATGGGGCCTCAGTTTAATGTCTCATTCAAACGACAGCACCTCCAACAATGCAATACCCCTCAACATTGCATTGGAGTGTCAACTTATACAATATGAATTCAAGTCCTGACATGGGGCTTGAATCCACAATCTTATGTCTCATAGGCAAGAGTGCCACCAACTGAGTCAGGCTGACACAGTAAAAGCCTGAAACTCCACCTAATTTTCGCCCATATTTTTTTAAAATTGAAGCTTGTACAGAAGTGTAGAACATTTTTTTAATTCAGTTTTAATTTACAAGCCAGTTCTGTTTAGAATTTTTTTAATTTCTGTTTCGTTCTGTTAAGAACTGTGGAAGTCTGGCTTCAAAATAAAGACCGAATTTAATAACTGTCCACAATTCTGTCTGATCTGAATTTTAAGATGTTTTCAGGAGGATACAAATAGAATTTTACCTTAGAAGCCATGCGTGTAAATCTTTCATTCTGGTCCTCTGCAGTGCTCATCCTTTCTTTTCTGACCAGATCTTGTAGACTTAGATTATCATCATCCTGGAAATATCTGACCCTCTTTCCCTCAGAGTGCGTCTCAATCTGAAAAACAGATATTGTTCTGAGCACAGTATCGTTACCTGAAAGAAGTTAACAATGTCTGTTCTAACTGCGCAAAACACCACAAATGCAACAATCTGCTGAAGGTCAGACCTTAGAAGGTCTTCTACGTGATTTCTCACATATTTTATTGTAGGTTTCTAAAGACTGAATCAAAACCAGTGATTTTGTTGTAAAACTGCCACACCATTTGAAAGAGAAAAACAGGTTAACATTTTGGTTGGGAAGAAGGTCACGCTGATATGATACATGACCTCTTTCAGATGCTAACTGATCTGAATTTATCATTTTTATTTAAAAATATGAGTTTTTCCTTTTATCTTTGAGAACTAATTTGTAATATTTCTTTATTAGAAAAGAACCCGATTAGATCTCTACTCTGGAAATAGCAGAATACCCATGTGTCAGTGTGATGTGATATTTGTCTGAGTCCCCAATTCCGCAACATGGATCCTTATTAGGAAATCTCATTTCAAATTATGTGCAAATTAAATGTCATTTTATAACTACTAGTTTAGATTTCCAGGTTAGAAACACCAAGATCTTTAGTAACTCTCTGTGCTGCACAGGTGCTGTTCTCTGAAGGCTGACTGGATCAGTCCCAGCATGTGCAAAAGTTCTTGTTAATCAAGACAAAGTGAAACTTCTGTAACAGAAGTCAACAACTGTAAAAACAGAAGCAAAAACTGTTGGGTTTTAACACATTATGGTTTGAAGTATTAACAATAATCCTTAATGTACATTACATTTTGCTTAGCGCCTCCTCTCATGTCAAGAGGATGACAGGATATACTGTAAAGTGGAGTGACTGTTTTGTGAATGAATGCAATAAGTAATTTGTGCGCAGCAATCTCCCACAAAACAACCATGAAGTGAATGACCAATTTTATTTGGGAGATTGTTGTCCAGGATAAACTCTCTTCTGTTGTTGAAGTGCCATGGGATCTATAATGTCCACCTGAACAGGCAGTCAGGGTCTTGGTTTAATGTCTTATCCAAAGGACGGCAACTCCAACAATACAGCACACACTCAGCACTGCATTGGAATCTCAGCTTGGACTATATGAGTTCCAAATCCTGATGTGGGGCTTGAATCAACAATCTTCTGACTCAGAGGAGAGAGTGTTATCAACTGAGCCTGGCTGACACACAACTTGCATTTATATAGTGTCCTTTACATGGCATAACATAAGAGGAACCGAGTGGGAGGAATCCCTGCCCCCAATGACCTGTCTGCTTCTCCAAGTCCTCCTGATGAGCCAGGATAGCTGATCTGTCATCAACAGTGCCTTAGAGTCTGACAAACACATCTAACTCCGAGCGCCGTCCAGCGTGAAGAGCACTATGTAAATGCAGGTTGTTGTTGGTGTAACTTAGGAAGCAGACATCCGAGACATCCACAGAGGATTGACATGGTTTTGATATTTCATTGTCGGAAACTTCATCTTCCAGCTAACTCCAAGGTAACATGCATGTCAGCCCCAAACAGACCCCATTTACTTCCCTCATAGGAGGGTATTTTAAGGATTGTGGAATTAAGTGCTCTTTAAAAAATCAATTTTACATCAAAATTAATATCCAAACAAACTAGGAGCTGCCTCAAAGGAAAATTCACTGAGTGTATTGTTAGTGACTTGCTTCAGTATCTAACTGGCATGGTCACAACAATTAGCAGCCTGTTAAACACTGACCATTGATACAGGGACTATAGATGCTCAACATTAAACTGTGCTTGTACAGTAATGCTCAACTTCCAGTATAAAGCTGCAAGTGTGGAATAAAATAGATTGATAAACATAAGTAGATTACTTGATGACATGCTTTTATCCTTAACCACCCAATCTCTGAAAGCAAAATCAAATTATCCTTCACAAAACTAACTGGTGAGAGCAGTTTAAGCATTAGAGTACAGGGTCTACTTTATTCTTCAGCGATATATGCACTTTTAGAGAGGTGCAAAAGTATGAAATAGCAATGGAAGGAATGGCCATCTGTATACCAATTGTTAAAATGGCTAATCTTCTTTTTCTCTCCTTAGTCAATTTGAAAAGATTCAAGCTGACCAGGAATTAAGAATTAATTCTATGAATCCAGAAACATCCAGCCAAAATGGGAAAGTGATCTGTACATAAATGGTGTTCAGGGTTAAACCTGAAAACGCTGCAAGTTATTATTTTTTGTCACTAAATAGATTACCTGGATTGCACATCTTAAAGATAATAAACATGCACTGAAATTGGAATCTTGCCAATTAATCCACAAGCAACTGAGTCAAGTTTCAAGAAACTTAGTTGCTTGAGATTTTTTCTTGAGTGGGTCTATCATTCAAACTGCAGTGTATATGAGGTTTACCGTTTGTTTCTTCTTCCTCCCTCTTTGTTGCTCTGCAAATTCTGTGGCAGCGCTCACTGGCCAAGCTCTGCCTGATCGATCCGTTCGGATAAGAACCACGTCTTGATCTTGATCTGCAGCCTGGTTCATTTAAAACAGAAACACTCAACCTCACAGACTAACAATATTAATCATCCCTGCATTTGATATGGCACCTTTGACGTCAGAAGGACTTCTCAAAATGCTTCACAAGTTTGCTATGACTACATTTTGTAGATAAACGGAGAACTCAATTCACACACAAATAGTCATGAAGTGAATGATAAATTTTATCTGGGCGCTGAATGTTGGCCAGGACACTAGGTAAAAACTCCTTTCTCTCTTCGAAAAGTGCCACAGATTTTTAGAGGCAGACAGGTCATTTTAACGACTCATCCGAAGGACGGAAACTCGAACAATGAGCACCTCCCCAGCACTGCGTTGGATGTCAGTCTTGACTGTGTAAAGTCAAACTCCCAAAGTGAGGTTTGAACACATAATCTTCTGTCTTAGAAGGGAATGAGAGTGTTTCCAACTTAGTCAGTCATCTCTGACACCTAAATAATTATTGGTAAAAATAAATTGTTCTTTTTTAAACCCCATAAATCTTTGCACAATGTAGATAACATGCACTAAAATGTTTTCATTAAGAAAGCAGATCCATTAAGAAAGGCTAGGAATGGTTCCTCTTTTCAAGGTCCATCCAAAGACCCAACTGTTTGACCCCGGTTTCAGTCATCTTCTCCCTCCCCACTCTCCTTGGCTCCCACCCTCAGTTTGGATGCCAAGCCAAGAATGTTAAGTGCCTTGGTCATTTTCAATCTACGACTGTTTGTGGGACATTGCTGTGCGCAATTGGCTGCCACGTTCGCCCACAAATATACAGTCAATTCACTTTACAGTGTGTTCTGTGAAGCGCTTTGGGACGTCCTCCCGACGTGAAAAGCGCTATATCAGATGCAAGGATTATTATTATTATTTTTAAAATATGCCTGTTTTAATTATTTACAACAACAACAACAACAAGATTCCATTTATAAAGCGCCTTTCACGTCAGGAGGACGTCCCAAGGCGCTGCACAGTTGGGTCATGACCCGAGCAGGCGGGGAATGGTCAGGGTGAGGGAAGGGAGGGAGCAAGGAGGCGGGAAATGGTCAGGGTGAGGGGAGGGAAGGGAGGGAGCAAGGAGGGGGGAAATGGTCAGGGTGAGGGGAGGGAAGGGAGGGAGCGAGGAGGGGGAAGAGAGTCGAGAGGGGAGCTGAAGGCACGGTCAAAGAGAATCTTCTGACAATCAGGTTCCTATTTACTGCTAGGTAAACAGAGGTGTGTGGAGTAAGGAAACTGGCCTAAGGTTTTGTCCTACAGAATAACCGAACTATACCTACAGGCGGGCAGGGCAATTAACCCATTGCACAAACCTGCCAACTGGGTTCGCGACACCTCAAACATATATAAGGTGCTATTCAGGAGCAAGACTAACGTTTATATATGCTGCTCAAATAGGCTTTAAAACAGACTTCAAATGTATGGGATCAGGCCTTGCACAAGTTTTAGTTATTATTGGGGTGAAGTTAGTCTCTCTTGAACTTAGAACAATTTTTTGTTTCTGCAGCATATCAAAACATTTGGCATTGTTGTTCTGTGATGACATTTGGCAAGTTCCCCCAGCAATTTCCTTGCCACGATCAATCATCAACAAATTTATTGCAGTTAAACCTCATCTTTGTGATTCACTGTAATAGCAAAGTCATATGGTTTGTAGTAAAAATTAAAATCTATTTTGTGACCCTAACGATTTGCCTCTTAAAAGATAATTGTTCCATGCCTCAAATTACATCATCTCATGCCAGTTCCATTAAAAACAGACATGGGATGATAGCAATAAATGTCAGTGAGGACAATTTGGAATGTTAAAGTATACAAACTACATAACAAAGAAACCTCTGCCTTTATGGAGACAGATCTGTAATGAAAGATTGCTGCACACGTTCCTATCCGGGATACTATAAAACACCAGTTTTGGGCCTTTGATGTTTATGTATCTAATCTTAAAGAAATTGAACCAACTAAACAAAATTTCCTATAATTTACAAATTCAGGATGGTTGTATTTATTCAAATTTGAGTTATACACGGGGCTGGCTGAGGCAGATTAACTTAGATGACAAGTTGGAGAGCCAAAAACTCTTGAAGCTATTTCATAAGAAACTGGTGTTGGGATGCAATTCCACTTCAAAGACTTGAATAAGGATGTTCTGAATCCAAATCTAAATGTTTATATTTGCATTCCAGTCAAGGTGCAAAAGCATAAAAACTGTCACAAAAGGGGGGAAGAGCAAAAAAGCCATTTATTTGGTTTGTATGGCTTCACTGGGTGCATGCAATTCCGTCCCTGATTGTTTAGGAGGAAGGGAGGGAGGAAAAAGGTCCCCTATTCAGTCTAATACCCCAATTCCAATTAAAATCCCTTTAAGTACAGATTTATCGTCAGGTCAGCATAAGTAGCCCAAAGCTTGTAAGTGGCCCCAAATTTCTGATGTCTGAACATCATCGTCTAACTCCTCACTCCCCAATCCACCACCTGGCACCTCCGCTTAACTGGCACCAGCCTCCTGCTCGTCCCTTGCATCCTCTGCCCCACCATTAGAGATCGCACTTTCAGCCACTACACCCCAAAATTCTGGAAAACTCCCTCACTCCTTCTCTCCTCTTTTTCAAGTCCCGCTTGAAACCTTCCCTCTTCAACTGTGCTTATGGCCACTTCCCAGCTCGGAGTCAGGCTCCGCCATTGTTAAGCGCTCTGGGAATCTACCCTGTGTGGAGGGCACGAAATACGTGCAAGTTGTTGTTGTTGTAACTTTTATGTCTAATGAACTGTTTACAGTCTTTTTCATGGTACAAGTTTTTAGGATGGGTAATGAATACATTCTCAAAATACTTCAGTTAATTTTCGTCACTTCCTAGCTTTTTGTTTATAGCAGCAAGTTTTTACAGTTGTTTATAAGTATGCAGATGGATAGACACAATTTACCATTGATGATTGTAGGCTTCATTAAGCTAGCTGACAGTTCTTCCTTACCAGGTTCTCTATTCTCCGCGGTGCTGTAGAAGCTGCAATGTTGCTGCCTTCTCCCAGGCTCTTCAATTTACGAGCTGCCTCCAGCTGAGCCTTAAATTTTGATGCCATTTCCTTTTTTAAAAAAAAACGTTTTTTAATGCATCTACTTATAAGTATAAGCTACATTATATAACAATATAATTGCAGGGATATACACTACACCACTAACCGAGTATAAAGTACACCACTAATGCTAACCGCACATAAAATTCCCATTGATGACTTCTGCACAGATGACACACAATACTTTAGGACCATTTATCAGATTTCTAAAGATGTTTGAAGATATTGCACAAAAATATTAACTATAATAATGTACAAAAGTATACACAAATTGCACTTCATTTCTATTTTACTGCTCAGATTCGTGTCAAGTAGAAAAACAGAATTTTTTCTGTAATATCAGATAAACATTTGGTAGGTGATATTACAATGATCATTTTCTTCAGTATTACAATATGTAAAATCAATATCAATTGGGTAGTAGATTTTGAAAGGGGCTCAATTTTCCATCTTTCTGATTGCCAAAATTCCCTCCTGCTTAAATAATAGGAGATTCTTTGGGAATGGATTCTTTAATCCGGCAAGTCCTCCTCTCCCCCATAGAATGAATGCAGATCAATTCAACTATGGTTTCTGTTAGCGAAGCCCAAAGGCGCGTGGTGGCAGACAGAAAGAGGTGGAACCTGGAGACATCTAAACTAGCTGCAACCACTCTCAGCTACATTTTATTTAAGTTAAATGCATCCAAATAAAGAATATATGAATTACCACTTTATTCTTGTGGATCATAAATGACCTAAATATGACCTGCTCTCAGTTTTAACTAGTATATTTTGCAGACAAGCTGGTGGCACATGAATTTAATTCCACAACCATTCATTCCTGTATGAAGCAATCAGAGGAGGAGGATTCCAAGATTTAAAGTTATGAGGAGAGGCTCAGAGAAATAAAGTTGTTTTCATTGGAGAAAAGCTACAGCAGGTCTTTAAAATGCTGAGAGGATGAATAATGAAGATTTAACCAGACTGTTTAATTTAAACTGCACTTTTAGAATTAGACAACATACACAAAGTTAGCAAGCCTCATGCCAGATAAGAGCTGCATAGAATTCTTTCCTTCTTAAGCTCATTGGAATGAATCATATAAACAGTTCACAAAAATCCTGCTAAATGCTTTACCTTCAGTAACAAAAATCAGAGCAGTTTTGAAAAAAATTAATACAAATATCATGGTATGTTACATTCAAATATTTAATGGGCCAACTGGCCTTCACTTAGTCCATGTTATACAAATTTTATGCTATATTATATTCCAATGTTTGTTAATTTGTTAATGTTTCAGCTACCTACTTCCTATGCAATGCTTAAAGGGCTGGATAAAGTAGACACTGAGGGTCTGTTTCCCCTGGTAGAAGAACCTATTAAACAGGGGTCACAGTCTTAAAATTAAGGGTCAGCCTTTTCAGAACAGAGTTGAGGAAACATTTCTTCACTCAGAGGGTAGTGACTTTATGGAATTCACTACCCCAGAAGGCTGTAGATGCTCAGTTCTTGAACATTTTCAAGGCTGAGACTGATAAGATTTTTAAAAAATAGAGGGATTAGGGGATATGGGGTAAGTAATTAGAGTTAGGTCAGAAAATCAGCCATGATCTTATTGAATGGCGGGGCAGGCTCGAGGGGCCGAATGGCCTACTCCTGCTCCTAATTCTTATGTTCTTATGCTGGAATTTCAGTTTTTTTTAACATTTTCTAAATTTTTTAATTTATTTTAGGTGGGCCTTAGTTTTCCATCAGCAATCCATTATATTTGAGTATAACATAGCATGAAATTTGTGTTAGGTTTTTTTTCAAACTGTTAATATATTCCATGGTCTCACCCCACCCTATCTCTGTAGCTTCCTTCAATTCTACCGATCTGTCCATTCCCTTTGTTCAGCGAGCACCAGCCTGCTTCATGTTCACCACTATTGGTGGGCATGCTTTCAGCCATGCTGCCCTGCTCTCCGGAACTCCATCCCCTAAATCACTCCTCCCCTCTTTCAAGGCACTTCTCAAAATGTACCTCTTTTGACGTACTTGTCGTCATCTTTCCTCTCACCACCCCTCGGCTTCATTATTCTGGTATATTATCCAGACCAATGAAAGTCGACTGTTTTTATTAACCTTGGGTCTGCTATTCCTAGTATAATGCATTTCTTCTTTGATTCTATATCAACAACAACTTGCCAATATATAACGCCCTCCACACAGGGTAGTGTCTCAGAGCACTTATATCCTGACCATCTCTTGTCTACTTCATGACCATTTGAAGTTTTGTAGTATACATACCCCAAGCACTGTATATACAGAGTCAGTTCTTCATCAGTATTGACCTTTCCCCATTAACACATGCTGGCAATTCAGCATCACTATCATTCAAGCCATTATCCGTAAGAGAGTAGTCTAGTTCAGCAATGTACTGCATAGACTATTGTCACTTGTCCAATGTATTAATACAACTGTGGACCGACAACGACTGACAAATTAACCATGATGAAAATGCATGATTATTTCTATAGGAAAAATGTCAGTTGAGTTTACACATTCAGGAGACATTTTAAGGGCTCAACATACTTTCAGTTCAATCATCAAATGCCATACTGCTCAGTATGTCATCCTCTGAAAACCTTTAAGAGAAAACCATAAACATTCGGATGAAGAAGGCCCTTCGACCCATTTGATTGTATTCTTTCAGAACACGCACCCTAATACCCTCCCATCCCACAAAGCTATGTTTTAATTCCCAGTAACTTGTCCCAGTCATTAATTACCCTCTCAGTGAAGAAATACTTCTATGTGTCTGCCCTGAAATTGCCTTTTGCAACCTTAAATCTGGGTCCTCTTGTTCTGCTGTCTCAGTAGATCCAAATTTATTGTCTGAGTTTATTTTCTGAATCCAATTCAAAATGCTCTATACCTCTACAAGGTCCCCTCTGAGACATCTGTTTTTAAGACTGAAGAGCCCTAGCCTGTCTAAGTGTTATTCATAGATGATTCCTCTTACATCAGAAATCATCCTTGCTCTCTTATGCACTGCCTCTAGAGCCTTGCATGCCTATTGATTGAACAATTATAAGCCAAGTTAAATGAATTTCAAAGCCTGATTCATATTTTGGTCTTCTTCCAGTCTTGAACCTACAAACCTTGTAGGTCCCCCAATCAGAGAGAGGACACCAGCCTGTTTCATGTCCTGGTAAGACTTTCAGCTCATCTGCCCCACTTTCTGGTACTCCACCCTGGAGTCTGTTTGATTCGCCTCTTCCCTTACCTCCTTCAAGGTCTGCCTCAAGACCTTCCTGTTTGACAGCACTTTGGAGCATCTTTCCCCCACCTCATCCACTACCTCTACTTACAGCTCAGATGAAAACCTTAGTCTGTCCAGCACCTTGGGACATCCTCCTGACAGGAAAAACTATATGAATGTAAATTTGGATTGCATTGTACCATGATTGTGGAATCCTGCAGCTCAATGGTTAGAGCACTCGCCTCGCAAGCGAGAGACCTGGGTTCGATTCCCAGCAGAACAAAATGTTGGGCAAGTTTCCTTACTTCACACGCCTCTGTTTACCTAACAGTAAGTAGGAGCCCGGTTTTAGTTGATTGGTGGATTACTTTTCCGGGAATAATAATTCCTTCNAAAAAATAATAATAATAAATTGGTCACTTCAATCCACGACTGTCTATGGGACACTGTTGTACGCAATTTGCTGCCACGTTTCGCCCACAAAATATTGTCGATTCACTTTACAGTATATTCTGTGAAGCACTTTGAGTCATCTCAAAGACATGAAAAGGCACTATATCAAATGTAAGGATTATTTTATTATTATTATGATCTAAAAATGTAGAAACATGTACCCAACAAGTGAAATATTGGATACAGCAAATTCCATAAACATAAGCTACAATGGAATACCTCAGCTAATTATGCAATTCTAAGCAACAGATGTGGTTCAGTTATAAAGCCTATTAAAAATTGTCAGTGCTCCTATGTATGTGGAGTTAGTGGTCTTGTATTCTGTTGAAACACCAGAATCTTACCAGGTTTCCCATCAGCTCTGCTTTGACAATCTTTGCCCCCAGCTTGTTCATCTCTTCCTCACTAAGAGGTTGCACAGATTCCTCATTTGCAGCATCAGATCTGATTGGAGAGGCAGCACTAGGGGAGGGAAGAAAGAAGAAAGAAATGGAAATGAGTCATTACATTCAGATTCACAGAACCCGATCATACACATACCAAGAATCCGTGCCTTTGTTTTGCTGAAAGTTCACCTTTCAAAAAAAAATCTCATGAAATTTTTTGCTTTGTGGTGTAAATACATTTTCTGGATTTTTTTTCAGGTTAGAAAATTAAGCAACATCACAGAAAAATGTATAGCAGAAAGTGTTAACCCATGACTTTACCACCTAACCTGCGGGTCTTTTGCTCCAAAATATTCTCGCCAAAATTAATTTCGGGATCTTGGCAGCAATAGCAACATGGCCCAACTATTAAAATAATTGCAGACATACCATTCCCTTTATTTTCAGGTCTCCTCGATTTTGATACTCAAATGTTTGAATGTATTATATCACATTTGCTTTTGATTTATTAATGTGCTGCCACATCCCCTCTTTTAGCCGGTGCATCACAAAACCAGTCTGCTTCTCAGGTTCTCACACTATTTCCAAAATAAGTAGTTTCAAAGAATAATGTATAAATTGAACATATCTGCACCAGCAAACAACTCTATAAAATGAGCTGCTTCCTGCATGTTTTTTCAGAAAAACGTAACACCTAAAATTGCACAGCCAGTGTCAGGTGTCGGTCTCTGACTTCAGTGCTGACAGGCAGAGCAGTTGAGTCAAAGGTAAGGTACAACTGAGCTTCTTTATTTATTGAGCTCCACCTACCTAGAAACCGGATTCCGTTGATCTTGTGAAGATAACTCTTGCACAGGACTATTTTCTCCAGGCTTGGTCTCTATCCTTCTGTCCTCACACTTGGAATTTCCTTCCCCTTTTGGAAGCGTACTGTCCTGAGCCGGGAGTGTCGACACTTGTGATGTTTCGTCTTTGCTGTCTCTGCACCACGTTGACATTTTGTCACCGTCATCAGCGGGCTTTCGAAAAGTGCTGCTGAGAGAACTGCAGGATTCTGGTTGCTGGAGAGAAGCTCTTGCAGCCTGGGTGCCCCATCTACTGCTGCCAACTGAAACACCATCATCCTCACAGGGCTTCATGAACTTAGATTTGAGATTATTTAAAGATGAAAACTTATCTCTCTGCCTTTCTTGAAAGTTATCTCTTCTTAAACCCCTAGCACGGTTATCTCTTTGTCCACTCTGCTCACATTCATCCTCTCTGTTTCTCCGGTCATCTTCCCCACTTTTATCTCGATATTTCTCTTTGGAACTGCCTGCCACTGCCTCTTTGTCAAAATGCTGTGATCGATCTTTGAATCTGTCCCTAATGTCTTCCCTTTCAGTCATTTTCTCTTCTTTTCTCCTGAATTGATCTTTGATACTTTCTTTTGCTGTCTCTCGCTCAGTGAATCTCTCCCTTTCTGTATATCTGTCTTTACCTTCAGTTCTTCCCTGGCAACTCTATATTCCCTATTGTTTTGGTCAGAGGCCCAGTTTCTTGGTTTTCTCCATCTCTCTCTCCAGTTGCTCTCACTTCCTTTTTGATAATTTGATGCTGAAACCTTTTCAGCCTCTTGAAGCTTTTCCTGGAAAATTTCCATAGACTAAAGGGGATAAACATGAGAAACATTTCATTTTAATGCCCAGCCGCTTCTTTGACACATTTTTCTGAAGTCACACTTTTTTTAATGAGAAAATGTAATTGTTTAATTTGATATAACTCACAATTCATTAAAAATATAGCTTCAAATCCCACAAAATACTAGGTGGAATATATACGAATATTTTCAGTCATATGTTGGCAGATCAGTATAGTTAGTGTCCAACAGCATAACTGTGGTACCCATGGAACTGTAGCAAAAGCCCTGAAAAATAGACTGCTTAGTTCATAGTGACATGAATAGTAACTGATTTATTGTTCGGAATCATGGACCAGAATATCCACTGGTCAGGATATTAGCCAAATGCTGTGTTGCAACCTGGATTTCAAGTTAGCAAAAACAAAATTGGCTAAATTACTGGGAAGAAACCAGGAATCCATCAAAGATTTAAAAAAAACAATTAGGCTCCTTCCGAAAACAAGAAGTGCTTACGTTGACATTTTTAGTTTCACATGTACGATATTGCAGCTTGCCTAGCAGACAGCCTCACATACAGTGATAAAATGCTAATATTAGAGGGATCTTATTGGTACATTCAATATTTATCATATCAAATGCACCTGGATTGCCAATTTTGCTTTATTCACTCCCAGTACCTCGGTGAATTGATTTGAATTGCCTTCAAATCAATCCTCCTAAAAACAGATCACTTCATGATTCTTTGTATTGCTGACCAATACATTTATCCAGAGGTAACCTGTCCATCGTCATTCTCAATAGTGACATTCATGAAGCCAGGTCCCCAGGCATTTGACTTCTGGCTTGTGAACTGCAGCTTTTGACTTGCGATACAGGTAATATGGTGAAAGCAAAAGACAGTCTCCCACTAAAAACGTTGTGAGCCGCAACTTCAATGCCTCAGCCATGTTGCCACTGAGAACAACATCCAGGTACATTCAATATGATGAATATCAAACATACTGCTAAATTGATTCCAATGTCTTAATAAGATTCACCTACAAATACCCAGTCACAACAACTAACAGTAAATGCTGTGATGTGCTGTCAAATGTTTGGACAATGTGATAAGGCTTTATATTAAATGAAAGGACTTTTTTTAATAAACAGTTAATAGCTGCTTCCAACGTAGTGCAAAATGTTTGGGGATGTCCAGCATGCCCACGTTACCTGAGCAGAGGGGCGAGCACAGGAGTGCGGTATTAGATGGTCACAGAGCCAGGGAGGCAATAAGTGCCTGAAGAGATTTATACATAATAGATAATAGTGCTACGGGTTGAAAGGATTTATGGGTTATACTTTTATTATACTGCTGGGACATGAAGGATTTATAGTTTATATTTTTAATAAAAATGACACACAGACAACAGGAATCAAGTCATGACAGAGCAATGCAATCAGGATGCAATAATCATTCTTGGTTTATCATGTCTGCCTCTAAAATGGAAGGTGTGAGGCAAATTCATTCCACCCTCCCCATGAAAGGTGAAAAGACAAACAAGTTGGCTGTTAAATTTATACTTACGCCCTCTAGCTCTACAATCATAGCTTCACTCCCAGGAGTATGTGATACAAGAAGCTTGATTTATACTTTCCTCTCCACAATGCATCAAATCAGGGATGAAATAAAGTTGACATGTGAAGCACGAAATTCCACCCAATCTTAAAAGCTTGCAGCTTTGTGTTAGGATTGAGATGGCACAGAATTGTGGAGATTTCTTAACGAGCGTTTTAATTTGGAACCTGGTCTAGCGGATAACTAGTTTTTAAATTGAGACTGAGAACGTGACTCAATTCTGCATATTCTTAAATTATGACAAAATGTTTGTGTAGGCTAAGAGTAGGTGGAATTTCTGCTCCTGATTTTAGTGTTTTATACATTACTTTTATTCAAGAGGGATTCTTTGATATTAGATGACAGGTTGTTCCAGGCCCACAGGCCATTTTATGGATAGAGCTTTGAACTGACACAGGGAAGTGAGCCCACAGAAATTCACAATCACCAAGTTTATGCAATTCTGGGTGCAAATCACATAGCTTCAGTCCGATATGAACTTCTTGAGCCCATTCATGATGCATGTTGGCAATGAATTGCTGCCAATACTTGACAATTCACTGTCAAACACACAGAATACATGCAGAACTAGAGAGAGAGAGAGACATGCCAATGATTTATTGTTTCCTAAGGAGGAGGGGCAAATTACCTCTTGTTTAAATAATCCTTGTGCACAGAGGGTTGTAAATCAGGATGTTGCAAACAAGAGAAGGGTATAAGCATGAACTGCAGATAAGTGAACGACAAAGGGTTCACTTCACTGTTCATTGTAAACTGATATGGTGAAAGCTACAGGCTACAGGCTACAGAAATCAAGGCTACAGATTTAATTCTGTACCATCTGATGTTTAGCTACTCACCAACCAAAACGCATATTGACTATATGGTGTGCTTTTATTTTATGGTACTGTTAGTTACTTTATGCAATACTGTAAAATATTTGTGGTTTTCTTGGTCAAACTACAGTTTTAAACACAGCACACTGTTTTGGTAGATGACCTGGAAGCTGAATTGTTTTCAGAAACACAAAGGTCTGGTAGTCATCAGCATGGATATTGGACTTTACACTGTGATGAGTTACGGCTGCAACTTACCCCATATCTTTCGGACACTACATCCTCCAGTCTGCGCTGCTCTCTCTCTGCCTGCTCCTTCATACGCTGGTAGGATTGTCTCAGCCAGCTCAGTCCACCATCTTCAACCATGGCAGCTTGTGGTGTAAAAATAAGTTTTTGTTTTAAAGTTGAACTGGATTAGATAGAGGAGCCTCATTATATCGCAGACAGTCCCCCGGTCAAATACTTCAGAGACTATGTTATAGGCAAAGCTCAAAAGACTGCCTGACATCTGGGTCGTTAGGTTGGTGCTGATGCCACTTCCTTCAAGCACGCGATGTGTAAAAAGCACAGTAATGTAACTTCCTGCTTTGCGCATTCCCGTTCAGGGCAAAACCTTAGGCAAGTTTCCTTACTCTACATGCCTCTATTTAGCTAGCAATAAGTAGGAATCTGCTTGTTAGTCAATTAGCGGATCGCTTTCTGGGAGTAATAATACCTCCAAAAATAATAATTTGGTCACTCAATCCACAGTTGTTTGTGGGACACTGCTGTGCGTAATTGGCTGCTGTGTTTCATCCACAAAACACATGGTCATTACAATTTACAATGTGAAGCGCTTTGAGACGTCTCGAAGAAGTGATAAGGCACTAGATCAAATGCAAGGATTATTATTCATAGCAAAGCAGAAAGTGACATCAACTGCAGCCAAATGACTCTCAATGCTTTTACATTCAACGTAGAAAGCCACCCAGTGGATGGGAAGTGAGTGGGCTGGATGTGTGCCTGCAGAATGAAGGGGTCCACAGTAAAACCACTTCATTAATGGATTGAATCTATAATAAAACAGAACAGGAGAAACTCCCTCATCTTTTCAAATAGTGCAATGAGACCTTTAACATCCACTTTAACAGGCCGACAGGACCTCAGTTTATCATCGGCCCTCCGACAATGCAGCACACACCCAACGTTGCACTGCAGTGCCAGCCTCGACTGTGAGTTCAAAGGTCTGACATGGGGCTTGAACCCACAACCTTCTGACTCAAGAAGTGACGGTGCTATCAACTGAGCCAAGCTGACATCTATAGAATGAGTCATTGGAAGCAACAACAGTATGGCCAGTAAAATCAATATGAGTCAAATGCAGGACAAGTAAAAATGGTTTGCTGTACCTTTTTGAATTGGTTTAGAGTCACATTCTTCGGGGGGCAGACCTGTGCCTCCATCTTTCCAGTAGGGGTTCAGCTCTTTTTTATGAATTGCAGCCTTGAACAGAGATAATCAATTAGGGAAAACAGAAATGTGCTTACAATTCCTGTGAAGGAGTTGCGGGAAATCGCTAATGTGTAGCTCCATACATAAGACATCTAATCTTGCTGCATTACAGAAGAACCCAGTTCTAATGCTAATTGGTCAAAAGATTTAGTTACCTAAAAAATCCCAAATGTGGCCAGAATGCAGGAAGTCAAAAATGCCAATAGGAAATGACGTTGACGCACAGTAAGTGAGTTTACTGCCGACCGGATGGCCTACAATTTGGCCATTTTGGCTACCAGCACTCCAGCTGGAGATCTGAAACCATTTGTTGAGCTGGCCATCTTTCTGCGTGCATGGACGGGAAATGGTAAGGATTCATTTTAGATCTTGCAATAGTGTCGATCAACCATTACAATATTAGTACAATAATAATAATCTTTATATTTGGTATAGTACCTGTCACATCAGGAGTACGTCTCAAAACACTTCACAGGATATACTATGACGTGCAGTGACTGCGTGCTTTGTAGACAAACGCGGCATCCAATTTACGTACAGCAATGTCGCACAAACACCATAACATTCATATAATTAATGTTATGGTCCTGGTTGGCATTTCATGGAGCTCGAACAAAATATTAAAATAATCCCTGCATTTGACATGGAGCCTCATCACATTGTCAAAATGCCTCAAAGCGCTTAACAGCATTTCCCTGTAAATTGTAATTGCTCTATAACTGCAGGCAAACTACCAGGTTATAATGAGGCTCCACTGTATCCGCTAGCAAGAGCAAGTCATAGAATCTGGCTTAGAAGTGTGAAGAAAGCCAAGATACTTTGAATACAGTCGAACAATTTAGTGGAGAAAAGGTTAAACCTTCTCTATCATAGCTATAAACTGAGGAGCATCCAAGTATTTCTTTATCAGTAAAGCCAATCTAACAGCGATTCACAATAATGATGTTGTGTGCAGCGCTCCGTAAATAAGACAAAAAAAGTGCAATAAGAAACAAGCGCAGCAAGTGACATTTTTCCAATTCTGATCCCTGATTCACCAGGATCTAAAATGTACCCTGGAAGTTACTTCTATAAACAGCAGCCTGTGTTTGGCATCCCAAATTCTATCTTTTACGTCTGCAAAACATATGGTGGTTTTGATTTGTGTAAAATGTTCATCTTCTGTCACACTAGAATGTGTAAAAGGAAGTAAGATGAAACATTAGTACTGCAGGGTATGACCCCAGACTTTGCTTTTAATCGGCAGCACGCAATCAGAGGCACTCTCTGTGAGAAGCTTCAAAGCTAATGGAAATTCCTTCTCTCTTTCAGTCAATCGAGTCGGTAAATGGCTCTTTTATGCTTATGGAAATATCTTCAAATAACTCTGCAGATTTGTTCTGCTTAAGACAAATTATCATCCTCTTGTGATAAGCCGTCAAGTTTATGCACTATTGTCACACAATGGTTAAGAAAACAAAAGGAATAAAAATAAAAAGAAATAAGAGTTTGTATATCTCATAAAAGCTAAAACTCTGAGCTGATGCAGCAGGAACTCTCCCAATCCAATGAATTAGTTTTCATGCGACATAATTCAAGGAAGAAGCCATCAAAAAGTAAAACAAGCAGCAGAATAAAATGGGACGTCTCTCCGACATGAAGAGCACTATACAAGTGTAACTTGTTGTTGTTGTAAAAAGAGAAGAGCTCAGGATATGATAATAATAATCCTAGCATTAGGTAGAGTGCTTGATCACATTGTTGAGATGTCTCAAAGCCCTTCACAGGATTTTACTGTGAAGTATAATGACTGTATTTGTGGGTAAATGTAACCACCAAACTACACACAGCAACATCCCACAAACACTTAATGAAGTAAATTAACATTTTTATCATGGGGATTGTTAGCCAGGACACAGGGAGAAATTTTCAAGTAATTCAATCGGATCTTTAAGGTCAATCTGAACAGACGGGACCAATTAGGGTTTAACCTATCATCCGAAGGACAGCACCTCCAACAGCGCAGCATTGGAGAGTCAGCCTACATTGCAAGTTCAAATCCCCAACTCCCTTGGCCCTGCCCCCCCCTCACTCCCTGGTCCACGCCCCCTCACCCATGGGCCCTGCCTTCTCAACCCCTGAGCTCACCCCCTCACCCACTGGGCCCCGAACCCGCAGTCCCTGGGCCCCGCCCCCTCACTCCCTGGGCCCCGGCTCCTTCACTCCCCACTCTCTATTCATAAGAGAAACTAGATCACTTATTATGTTCACTAAACATAGCATTTAAACGTAGAGCTGACTTTTTCATTTTAATACTCTTGACATAGAGCAGAAATGCAATCAGGAAATCAAAACATGTGCACAACAGTGGATGAGCAGGATTAGTGCTGACAATGATGTTCGGACAAATTAAGCAATGGACACATTCCTCGTACGTGGACTTGTTCCATAACAGTACTGCATATGCATTTCTCCAGCTGTATTCAAAATGTTGTCACTCACCCAGGCAGACACCGGATGCCAGGGAAAGAACAGTGAGGTAGAAAGCTGTGGGCATCACGTGGGTTGCTTAGTGTGGTATTACCGTGCACTAGGAGAGGGCGGAAAGAGTCTTACACGCAGGCAACAGAAAATTGTGGACCGCAGAATTTTTTTTAAAAAGGTTTTTGATTTAGGGCCCAGTACAGCTAGGTTCAAATTGGGATATCTGGAGTCTGGTAAACCCAGGGTTTACTGTATGTTGAAATGGCTCAAAGTGCTTCACATCATTTCTGTCAAGTACAGTGACATTTTGTTGCCAACTGCAATAGTCACTTTGCGCACAAGATACACCGTACCACAAACAGACTGAGACAAATGGAGAGCTCACTTGAAGTATTATTGGCCAAAATACTGGCAAAACTCCCTTTTCCGATAGCATTATGGGTCTTAAATATCCACCCAAAGTATAAACTGATGAGATCTCACCCAAACCACTTCTGACCATGCAGCAGCACTACCCGAGTACAACAGCAAAAACTTGGGATTTATACAGCGCCCTCCACGCCGGACGGCGTCTCAGAGCGCTTCACAGTAACGGATCCCGGGGCCGAGCCAGGGGGGAGGGGGAGGAAGGTGACCAAAGGCGCGGTCGAAAAGAAAGGTCTTCAGCCGAGACCTGAAAGTAGGAAGAGAGGGGGTGAGGCGAAGGGAGTGAGGAAGGGAGTTCCAGAGCCTCGGGGCATAGTGGCTGAAGGCACAGCCGCCGAGGGTGGAGCGGAGGATTCAGGGGAAAGGGGGAGGCCAAACCCGGTGGAGCGAAGGCAAAGGGGACTGTTGTGAGGAGAGAGGAGGTCAGAGAGATAGGGGGGTGTAGAGAAGTGGAGGGATTTGAAGACAAGGGTGAGGATCTTGAAGTCGATCCTCCCTGGGACAGGCAGCCAGTGCAGTCTGGCGAGGACTGGGGTGATCGGGGAGCGGAGTTTGGTGCGGGTGAGAATGCAGCAGCAGAGTTCTGGATGACCTGGAAATTATGAATCACAGTGGAGAGGAGACCAGTGAGGAGGGCATTTGAATAGTCCAGCCGAGAGGTGACAAAGGCATGGACTAGGATTTCAGCGGCTTTTGGAGTGATGTATTGGCGGAGACAGGGGATGCATCGGAGGTGGAAGAAAGCGGTGCTGGTGAGGGACCGGATGTGTGGGAGGAAAGGTAATTGGGGGTTGAACCTGATGCCTAGGTTGCGTACGGGTTCGGAGAGTTTTAGGGGGAGGTCGGGTAGGTGGAGGAAGTGAGAACCATTTGATTTTAGACGTTGACGAGAGCCAAAGAGTATGGCTTCCGTCTTGTCAACATTCAGCTGAAGGAAATTCATGCTCATCAAGCTCCTGAGGTCTGACAGGCAGGCTGACAGAACATCAGGGGACTGGGGGTCGCAAAGTGAGGTGGAAAAATAGAGTTGGGTGTCATCTGCATACATGTGGAAGTGTACCCCATGTCTGCGGATGTCAGAAAGAGGAGGGGGCCAAGGATGGATCCTTGTTGTACCCCGCAGTTAACCGGGTGAGAGTGGGAGGAAAAGCCGTTTGTGCAGATGTACTGCTGTCGGTTTGTGAGGTAGGACTCAAACCAGGCGAGTGGGGTCCCACTGAGGTGGATGATGGAGGAAAGGCAGTGGAGGAGGATGGCGTGATCGACTGTGTCGAACGCAGCAGAGAGGTCCAGGAGGACAAGGAGGCAGAGGGAGCCCTGGTCACAGATAGAGAGGATGTCATTTGTGACTTTCACAAGCGCAGTCTCTGTACTGTGGGCAGGGCGGAAGCCGGATTGGAGGGGTTCGAAGAGGGAGTGGGAGGAGAAGGGTGCGTGAAGTTGATTGGCAACAACATGTTCGAGGCCTTTTGAGAGGAAGGGCAGATTTGAAATAGGGCGGTAGTGGCTGGAGTTTGAGGGATCTAGGAAAGGTCTTTTTAGGAAGGGGGTGATGACAGCAGTTTTGAGGGGGCAGGGACTGATCCAGAGGAGAGGAACTGGTTGATGACATCAGCCAGTAGTGGGCAGAGGAGGCGGAGCTGGGTGACCAGCAAGTTGGTGGGGAGGGGGTCGAGGTAGCAGGTGGTGGATTTCATTGAGGTGAGAGGGAGGAAGGAGAGATGGGGAGGAAGGAATGTAGGATGGGGGGTCGTGGTAGGAGCTGATGATGGGGAGGGTGAGGGGGACAGAGAGGGGGTGGTGGTGGGTGACAAGAGGCAGGTGGATGAGGCTGCCTGGCGGATGTTATATATTTTGGATGAAAAGAAGTCCATGACCTCATCACACTTGGCACTGGATGTGAAGAATGAGGAGGCCTGAGTGGGGCACGGAGGTGGTAGTGGGTGGTGGAAAAATGGATTTGGAGATTGTTTTTAGGCTCCAAGATGATGTTGGAGTAGAAGGCCGTTTTCACGCGTGTCGAAGAACAGCGGTAGCTGCTCAAGCCACAGTTGGTGGTGAACTGTCAGGCCAGTTTTCTGCCATCTGCGCTCGAGCAACCGGGTTTGGGTTTTTAGGGAGCGGAGATGATTGTTATACCAGGGGGGTTGGGTGGGTTTGGAGATGGTCCTGGATTTCAGGGGGACGAGGGAGTTGAAGGTGGAGGAGAGGCGATCATGGAGTAGCTGGACGGCTGTTTCAGGATCTCCACAGGTGGAAGGCCAGAGGGATGGGATATTTGAGGATGTGAGGGCCTTTGTGAGCCTTTTCCACGGGCGGTAGAGAATGGTTGAGGGCTTGGTGAAGGAGAGAGGGATGTGAGAGGAGAAAGAGATGAGGAAGTGGTCCGAGATGGCCTTGTCCACTATGCTAAGGTCGGAAATGTCAAGGCCCTGGGTGATAACGAGGTCGAGGACATGGTCACTGTTGTGGGTCAGTGAATTAATGTGAAGAGTGAGGTTTAGGGAGGAGAGGAGGGTAGTGAAGTCAGAAGAAGTAGTGCAAGGGGAGTTTAGGTGGAGGTTGAAATTGCCCATTATGAGCAGGCGCTCGGAGCAGAGGTACAGGGAAGAGAGGAGAGTTGAGATGTCTGTGTGGAAAGAGCCGGGGGACTTAGGGGGGCAGTAGACCAGGAGGATGTTCAGTGGGAAAGAGGGATGGAAGAGGGTGAGGTGCTCGAAGGAGGGGAAGCATACAGAAGAGTAGGGGGAAGACCAAGGGAGGCTTTGGAGCTGAGGGCCACCCTGCCACCACTTTGGTTTGGAAGGGAGGACGGGGTCATTTGGGGAGAACCAGATTTCTGTGAGCCCAAGAATATCGAGGTGCTTGTCCAGGATGAGGTCATGGATGGTGAGGGCTTTGTTAGAGAGGGAACGGACATTTTGGAGGGAAATGCGGATGGATTTGCTGGTGGGAGGAGAGGGAGGAGAGAGTGATGCGGAGAGGATTTTAGGGTGTACAGGAGAGATGGTTGTAACTGCACTGAAGTGTCAACCTAGACAATGAATCAACAACCTCTGATCATGAAATAAGACTACTACCAATAAGCAAATATGGCACTTTGAGCAATGATTGAGGCGGCTGGACATCTTTTCAATTTCCCACTTTCCTGGGAACAGAGAACCTGGGACATAATTTCCTCCATAATCTTTTCTAAAATCCTGTCTGGTAATCTGAAGAACTCCTTCCTAAGCACACTTGTCCTCATTGCCTTCAGAAACATATTCCCACACTATACAGTATAGGGTAGGCTTTGAAGGAGTTCATCAGTGTCTGATTACAAGTCGCTCAGTCTAATTGATCAACCAATCACCCAGATTTATTTTAAGCAGTAGGGACTTGGCTATCTTTCTATACAGTTGTTTTCCAGCGATCAGGTCAGAGATTTTTTTCTACTCTAGGTCTTCTTGCTGATCAAAGCACTTACCCCACATAAAAAAGTACATTCCACAGAACAAAAATAGGTCAAACAGGCAAACATTTGATGGTTTCAGTAACACTGTTACAAGTTATAAAACTAATGAAGTGGGAGCAATCACAAATTAATCTCAGCTCAGGTCCAGAGAACAAACTAATAAGCCGCCATCTGAATTTACAGAATAAATTTGCTGCCCACACCTCACATTACTTTACTTCATTTAAGCGCTCCGAGACGCTACTCTCGTGAAGGGCGCTATATAAATGCTAGTTGTGTTCTACCTATCCACTTCACATAACTCACTCGTAGAAGTCAAGCCTTTGCTCCATGGTTGCACACTTCAACTCACCAAGCCAGTCAGGAACCTAGTGTCTTGTTCGACCCCCAACTGTCTTTTCTTCCCCACATCCAAGCCATGACCCGCTCTGCCTTCCCTCACCTCCGTAACATCGCCCGACTCCGCCACTACCTCACCCCTCAGGCCGCTGAAACTCTGCCTTCATCACCTCCAGGGTCGACTATGCAAACGCCCTGCTTGTTGGTCTTCCCACCTGCTCCCTCCACAGGCTGCAGATAATCCAGGACTCTGCAGCCCGTGTCCTCTCCCGCACCAAACTCCGTGACCCCATCGCCCCCATTCTCACCCGACTCCATTGGCTCCCTATCCTTCAGAGGATCCAGTTCAAAATCCTGTTCCTCACCTACAAAGCCCTCATTGGTCTCGTCCCAGCCTACCTCTGTGACCTCCTAACACCCTACCAACCCGCCCGCTCCCTCCACTCAGCCGGTTCTGGTCTGCTCCACGTCCCCCAACCCACCCGCCCCACCATTGGCGGGAGAGCCTTCATCCACTCGGCCCCCAACCTCTGGAATTCCATCCCCCAATTACTCGGCCTCGCCCCCTCCATAGCCTCCTTCAAGTCCCACCTCAAAACCCTCCTCTTCAACCATGCCATCGGTCAGCCTCCCTTCCCCTCCCCGCCCTTCTCCCCCCTGACCCCAGGTCTGAAATGCTGTACACTGTCCAGCGCCTTGGGACGTCCTCCCAATGTGAAAGGCGCTATACAAATGTAATCTTGTTGTTGTTGTTGTTGTTGCTGCTCATAATTAACTCTCAATCCCACACACTTCTGTTTTCCTTTAGTAAAGCACAGTTTTATTACATCTCATTAAAAAAATCAGCTTGACGGATGCTGTGCTCGGAGGACAGCAAATGGGTATTCTGAAATTATGAGATCAGATGACCCAAAGGCCTCTTCATCTGAACTAATCTTATGATGATGTGGTGAAGTTTATAAAATGCACCGGAGGATAATCAAACCTGCAGTGTGAGATAAGGCAGTAACACTTTACTCTCAAATTAGAGTGCCATTTAAACCCAATATGCATCTGCTTAGGAGTATGTTGGTTATTATAATATACACAATTCTTCTCCATCATTTTTAATTTTCTGTCACTGGGGATGTTGTGGCAGACAGTGATTTATCAAACAATGATAACACGTGACTTCATTTAAGCTAAGATGCATGATTTCGTGACAAGATAACACCATCATAAAATACAATTTTTTTATACAATAGGTTAATAGGATAGCCTTTCATCTCTGGAATCCAGTGCAGACTGATAGAATCTCTGAGTGTTGCTTATTAGGATGAAATGATCTTACATCATTTTAACCAAATTCCTAATGGGCTCAAACATAAAACTGCTTCCAATACTGAAATAATTTGGCAATTGCACTCAGCGGGCTCTGAGAAATCTCTGATGTGGAAAATGGAAAAATCAACACTGATGAAAGATACAAAATGTTTAAAATAGAACATTCAATTTCATTTTATGTTTTTGTTCCAACCTGTTCAGCAACCTGCAGCTCCTCTTGTTCTGCATCTTTCTCTTTCTGTTTGTTAGCTTTGCGCGCTGCTTGTGAAACAGTCTTTAACGAAAGGAAGTCCAAGTTCATCCATTCTTCTCTCTAACCCAGATTTAGTGATAAAGAATATATTTAGTCACATAAATGAAAAGTATAAAATCACTTTTTTTCTGCTGTTTTTAATGGCAAAGCCTGGATAATTGATGCACAAAAGCCAAGGTCAATCTATCTCTAATTGAGAACAAGGTTGCAAAGCATTGCAGTTCATTTTTGTGCAATATGAATGCAACTAAATCAAGCTGGTGCTGGCAACTCAAAATATTTTAGGAATAATCTGTGACTACGAAGATTATGAGAATATTGTGGTAGCTTTGAACTTCCAATTCAACCAAATAAAGTCCGTAATATTAACATAAAAAGAAACGTTTGAGTAACAATACTGAAAAGCCAACATAAAATCCCTCCGTCTCAGAAATAGGCAAGTAACTATGACAGCCAGCTTCATTTAGCTGAGTGTTTGCAACCTCACTGGAGCAGCAAGTGCCTTACCAGATTCAAATGTTTGAATTTCATAGGCACCACATTTGAGTAATATTGTGCTGTACTGTATGATTATCATTAGGTCACAACTTGAAAATCAGAGTTAAACAGGTTAAAAGTCAATCCATGACAATGTTTCTCCAGATAAAGGGCTGTGAGAATGTGGAATGCACTGCCCCAGAAGACAGTAGATGCAAAATCAATTGAGATGCTCAAGACAGAGATTGAAAGGTTCTTGGGAAGTAAGCGTATTACATTTATTACACTCAAATATTTCAAATGTTACTTACACAATATACAGTTAACATTAGATAAGATTCACACAATATTCAGTAAACTATGGGTAGAATTTTTCACTTGTCGATAAATATACCAACCAGGGCAGAATAAAACGTGTTCACCCACCCGAGTCTGTATATTTACCAGCGATTGAAGAATCAGTCACTGAACTTCCAACTGGGACGATAGATTTTGGTGGATTGTGGATCATAGATAATTTGAAAGCAAACTCAAATCAAAAATAGTTGACATTTTAAGCAGGCAGTTTAAATGCAACAGATAAAGTTATTTTAAATCAAAGCTCTCACAAACATCAGTCCAAGAGTCAGAATAGATGCAGCTCTCGAATAACTCGGTGCCATTATAAATAATCAATAATGAATGTGAAACGGTCAGTTTGTGAGCACCACGTATTATTTCTAGGGATAAATGTATTCAAGGAAGAAACATGATCCTGAATCTAGTAAGCTATTTATCACAAATGTAGGCACTTATTAATTATAATTACTGTGTAAACTCTTCGTTCACTGGAATTTATTATTCTACTTTCATGCATAAGTTAAATAACTTGGCTATTTGTCACAGTTGGTATGCAGATGTATTTAGCAGAATGCACGCAAGGGCATTTTTTGAATGAGGAATTTTAATTATTTGAAAAAAAAGTTAATGATGAAAAAATCTATGTTGTGGTATCCAACAAATTAGGTTTATATTTTTCAGACTTATTCTACCTCGGAAATTAATTTTCTTTTATATATTTCTTGCTGTTAATCAAAGTGCTGCACAGCCCAATTCCACCTTCGGAGTTGAGAATTGAATAGTCAAGAACAAGATTCTACAATAGCTTTGAAGATACGACTAGCTAATACTGGGACTAATTCTGCACGGTAAGGAATGGTGCTGATATTATACTTTATTGGAGTCCTGTAGCTCAGTGGTTAGAGCACTCGCTTTGCAAGTGAGAGACCTAAGTTCAATTCCAGGCAGGGAGAAACCTTGGGCAAGTTTCCTTACTCCACACAGAACCTAATAATAATCCCTCCAAGACCAAAAACAATAATAAATTGGTCATTTTCAATCTACGACTGTTTGTGGGACATTGCTCTGCGCAATTGGCTGCCGCGTTCGCCCACAAATATACAGTCAATTCACTTTACAGTATATTCTGTGAAGCGCTTTGGGACGTCCTCCCGACGTGAAAAGCGCTATATCAAATGCAAGGATTATTATTATTATTATTGCAACTCTGCATCACACAATTTTTTCCCAATTGCAGCACGGTTTCTGGGAGCTGTCAGTTGAAGCCAAGAATAAGAGTCAGTTGTGTTTGCAATGTTCTAGGAAGGAGCTTTCATACCTGAACAGTGGCAAGTTGTTTTGCAGAAGTTGATTGTTCTTCCTCAACCTTCCAAGGTTTTTTACCGCTGCCAGTTTCTGAACAAGGAGCCGCTTCAATCCATTCTACCTCCGAAGCCTGCAGTGTACAAAATAAATCAGAACATTTTCCATCATCCATGACTAGTGAATCAATAGGATCCAATGTTCACCTTTTATGAGCATTCACAGGTGCAGTTTTTTACTGGTTTATTGATCACGCCAGTTCACAATTTTGTTCATCTTTGTGAGTTCATTGCTATATACGAGTACCTTGTACTAATACTCAAAATGAAATAAAGGAATTGTAGTGCAATTCATTGTTCTCTCAACCAAAAATATTCAGATCGTTACATTTCATCATCACATGATACTGATGCTTATGTTCCTGTCCACTGGCTATTCACTCAGACTCAATTTAGCAGAATTCTTGCAAATCAAGGCAATTCACATTTATATGCGTTGCCTACGCTTTAAAGCGTTCAATTTAAGATAAAATTATCAGCTCAATTAAACCAAAATTCACAATTTTAAAGATCATTTTTAAAAACATTTAAAAAAGATCCTTCCTATGCTAATAACTTATTTTCTAAATTATTAAATTTGAAAACTTCACTAAAGCTAAACAACAACAAAATTACATTTGTAGAGTGCCTTTCACGTCAGGAGGACGTCCCAAAGTACTGGACAGACTGAGTTACGGACCCAAGCTGAGGGTGAGGAAGGGGGGAGGGCACGGGGCAGCAGGGAGATCAAATGCAGGTCAAAGCGGAGGGTCTTGAGGTGGGTATTGAAGGTGGCGAGGGAGGGGTCGAGACGGAGGGACTGCGGGATGGAGTTCCAGAGATGGGTGCAGAGTGGGGCGAGCAAGGCGGGGGACGTGAAGCAGGCCGGAGCCCGCTGAGCGGAGGGAGCGAACAGGATGGTAGGGGTTTAGGAGGTTGGAGAGGTAGGGGGGAGCAAGACCATGGAGGGCTTTGAAGATGAGGAACTGTGGAGGGAGGAGTTGGGGAGGCCGACAAGCAATGAGTTTGCATAGTCAAGCCTCGATGTAACAAAGGCGTGTTTTGAGGGTTTCGGCGGCCTGCAATGTGAGACAGTGTTGGAGCTGGGTGACGTTGGGGGAAGGCAGAGCGGGTCATGGCGCAGATGTGGGGTAGAAAGGATAGTTGAGGGTCAAACAAGACCCCAAGGTTCCGGACTGGCTTAGCAAGGTGGAGTGTGCAGCCATGGATGGATACAGCAGAGACAGCAGATATTAATGCTCAAAATAATTTCTACTCATTCTAAAAAATTATCTATCTTCTTCTTCTACCTATCTTCTTCTCTACTAATAAAACGACTATGCTTCAAGAAGGATCTCAATAACAGATTGACATAGAGACATGATTTATACCTCAACAGAAAGGTCTTGTATCTTGGAGTGACATGGGTGTATTTGTTTTCAGGTATCGCCTATCGTTCATGAGTTATGACCTACAATATATTTCAGTTTTGCATTTTTCGCTGCAGTTAAACCTGGTGGTCGCACCAGCTGACCATGGCACTGTGGTATCCTGCGTCACAGAGTGTGCACGTAGCCAAGCGACGGCGGGAACAAAATAAAGAACACACACAGACAAAGCTAAGCCGCGGCAACAACAACAAAAAATTTAATTTTTAAAGGTGAGTATAAATAAAGATGAAATGTCTGCTGTGTGCTTGTCTGTGTGTCAATCAACATTCCACATTGGATCCTTTGGTTGCATGCTTAGCTGCAATGGGTACAGCTAGTACAGATATAAGAACACATCAATGCACAACCTGGCTGGTCTCAACCTTCAAGATAAATAAGTAACCTGGTCTCTCTCTCTCTCATAACCCACAAATGAATCCTTCACAAATAGCAATCTAATTCCCTCTTCAATTCTTTGAGACTATCTGGTTTCACCACACACTTTTTCAAGCTAAAATACTAATTTGTCTTATGAGGTCATGCTCGCGTAAACATTTACGAACTGTTTAAGCTGGATAGCTCAGTATAGGTCTCAAAACAAGTTATATTTGAATATTTGATGTGCTTCGTACAGTGATTTTAAAGGCTCTGGACAGCAGAACATGAGGATGGTCATAAACTCAAAGTAGCCAAAGGGTATAGCAAAGAGAAAAGTTTTAAATCTATGTTTCAATTTAACTAGTGCAGGCAAATGTTGGCTTTGGCTCAAAATACTGGATGTGCGTTTGTCCTGTTTATTTTAGGACAGGTTAATAAGAACGGAAATTCAGATCTCAAAATGATCTTTCTGGGTTACTGCACAATACTGCACAACTGTGGACAAAGAAAATCACCAATTTTAACTTAACTGAAATGCCAGTTTTCTCTTGTATTTCTCTATGTAACTTTTATTGTTATCCGTTTGATAGCCTTGGTAACAATTGAAGTGGATTGAGGATTTTTCTTCTGAAATAAAAGTAAAACCTGACTGAATCTGCCCATGCAACCACCCACTCAGCCAGAATTTAAAAAAAACAGACATCAGAAAAGTAGAAGTGGATGCACTATAGGTAATTGCATTTGAGTCACCCACTTGAAAATGTAAAATTGCCCAATCTCTCAGTGTTTCAAATCTAGAATTGGCTTACAATGGAAGTGGCAATGAAACATGCATTGAATCCAAATGTTTCTTGTATCATATTGCAGGATTATCTCAGGAGTGGTCATAGATTTGCTGAAATGATGTTGGACTTTGCCATTCTTCAGTTAATAAAGTTCTTAATTGAAGCCACCAGACAACTATACAACTAAAAAAGGCCACGAATTTGACTAATGTTGATCAGTGCAGCACTGAGAAACACAACTTTCAGCTTATTCCAGACATACAATATCATAGAAATCAATCTTCCATATCACTAAACCAAATTACTGAAGCCTTTCAGTATTGTGTTTTTTGGCACCAGTTCTGTTTAGTCAGTTAGAACTGATAAAGAGCTTCTGAGTTTTACATTTCAATCCACATTTGTGAATTCCACATTACGCCATTGACTCATGGTGAGGATGCTATGTGAAATAAATGAGCCTCAATGTCACACCTAAAGTGCACTGGCCTGCATCATTTCCCCCCCGGCGTATTCACCCCATTATCAGCTGGCAGGCTTTCAGCCTTTCTGCCACCACTCTCTGGAATTCCAGTGCTCCGACCCGCTCCCTCCCTCACCTTGTGTGATGGAGGACTATCTCAAGACCTAACTTTTTGACAGTGCTCTCTGGCATCTTTCCCCGCCCCATCACCATCAATGCCACTCCAACATATACAGTAGTCAAATCTGTTCAAGCAACCACCTCCATTCAGCAACCTCCCAGTTAACACCCACCCTGGAGCAGCCCAGTTCGCACACCAACAAACCCTTACCTTATAAAGGCCACCCTTATATAAAGGCCACTTTGGCCCAGTCCCTTGAGTGATTGTTGAAGCCAGGTTTGACTGCATATGTAAATTTGTTTCGTATTGTATTGCATCCGGCATCTCAGTAGCACAATAAGTTACAGTACTCTTTCACCTCTGCGCCTGGATTCAAATACAGTTCATACTGATGGAATAAATCTCTTCTTTCTGCTAGTCATAGGAGCCTTAAACAGTCAGGGGAAATTCTGATAGAGCACAGCCCAATGCAAGAAAATTGCTCATAATTTGGCATTAATTAGCACCCTTCAGGCCATTAGGCTTAGAAATTCAAAAATGGTACAAATATCCTCTAATGCCTTAGCAAGGAAATGTACCATTTGGTGCAGCATTAAGGCATGCAGACCAGAAAGTTGCTGGATCAAACACCAAAATATGCTGATTTGAGTCAAGATAATACAGTTGAGTTGGGGTGCTACAATTGACCCCAGGCCCCCTGCATTAGGAAAGGGAGAAATTAGCCAGGACTGTGGACTGAAATAATGGTCACTTGAGCAAAGTGCCAAAGGGTAACAAGCAGCTATGGAAGTCTCGCCCACTAAAAGGAAAAATAACTCAAATGCCTTAAGGACAAGAGAATGAAGACACACAGATTTTGTGTCCTTTTTTAAATTGTATAAATTGACACTCTTAAAAACTGATGCCCATACCCATTTCTTTTGTTTTAAGCTTGTACTTACAGAGGAACAGTCACTGGATTCATCGGTCTTTTTCTTCAGTTTGTTACTTTTCTTTTCCTTCTTTTCTTTCTTGCCTTTTTTGGATTTCTTCTTTTTCTTCTTGGATTCTATTGAGTGTTCCTATAAAAGAATGAATTGCAGCACTTTAAAATTGTAACCTGAATCCAGGATTCTCCCTTCTCCTTTGGAATAGTGTCATATGAATGGAATAATTCACCTGCAGAGCCAAATAGGACCTCAGTTTTAACATCTCATCCATTTGAAAAGCACATCCAACAATGCAGTGCTCCCTTAGTACTGCACTGGAATGTCAGCCTTAAACTGAGCTTAAGTTCTCATATGAGTTTTAAACCCACAACTTTCTGACCCAGAGGTGAGAGTGCTACCCAGCTGACACTTAATTCAAAGATGGTGTATAAGCAGATTGGAGGGATAGGAAGGTGCCGGGCGTGAAGTGATTTGTGTGTGAATGTAAGGATATTGAATCAATTGAGGTGTGAATGTATGAGACCAAATATAGTGGACACTCATCTTAAGGTCATCCCATATGTGGTGAACTAGTGTAGATGGTCAATTTTTTGCAGTCTTTATTTCAATGTTACATTTTGTGGTACAGTAAATCAAACTCACTAGCAAAGGCAACCTATTAATAAGGTAAACATTTCTCAATTAATTTGCTGGCTTTATTATAATAATTATTATTCTTGCATTTTATTATAGGATTATCATGTTGTAGAGACACCTGAAAATGCTTCACAAGATTTCCTGTAAAGTGATAGGACTGTGTATATTTTGTGGGTGAAATTGTATTATTGTATTAATTGTATTGTATAGTATTATATATTAATATAAAATGTTAGCGAGTTTCCACTGTAGTCAAAGGTTGAAACACTGGTGCAGTACGGGGGGAGCGCTGCATTGTACAGCACTTGAGGGCTACACTTTGTCTCTTTAAAGGACATCCTAATATTGAAATTCTCTTGGTGTTTGCCTTGGAACGCCCAAATTGAGACCAAATTCTCTATAATCTTAACTTTAAGTCAAGCAAAATGAAGAAATTTCAGATGTCTTAAGTATGTCTTAGTTATTAAAATAACTTTCTAATTCTGATCTGTATATCCACATATCCAAATGCAACCTAATTTCAATCTATCATAATTATTCTTTCAGAATTATAATCATCTCTTCCAAGCTCCCACAGCTAGAACAGATGTCTCTGATTCACATAAGCCATTACTGAATATATAACATGAATCCAAGTGTTCTACCAAATTCTCCCTGTTTATTGCACAGAATGGAGCAAATTGAGAATTCATGGCCAGCACAGGAAAAAGTAGGATTGTAAACTCAAGTTGCTGCAGTTGTTGTAGTTAAACCTTCCCAGTTCTGCACACAGACCATCCTCACGTATGAGAAAGGTGGACTTGGGTTAGTGGTGTCAAGTCGCATCTGTGGCCTGTACTGATAGCTCAAGTTCTGTGTTGCCTTGGATGTTAAAAGATAGCAACTGGCAAAACCAGAGACAGCAGAAGAAATAGCCTAGAACACCCCAAACCACATAGCTTTCTCAATTTGCCAAGCAAAAGAAAGGGATTTGGATTTATTGAATTATAAACAGCTACCATCATAAACCTGCCCGAAATAGAGATCATTAGCTAGAAGGAAATGAGAGTGAGCAGTTCAGATAGTTTACATTGCCTGGTTTATTCTTAATTGCACTCGGTAGTATAACATCTATTTTCTTAAGTATTGGGATTTCATTTTTTAATGCAAATACAAATGTTCTGATGCAATATCCTAAAACTGTGAAAATGTGTATTTTGTTTTTATCAGGCGGGTATCTGGCACATACAGAAGCCCATCACCACGCTTAAGAGAGCCAAATCAAACAGAATTCCATGCCCCCACTTCAAGCTACACACATCCAGTACCACTATTAAAATGCCAGGTAGTTCAAGACTTCCTCAATTGCTTTTCAAATAATTAGAAAATGATAACTATGCATAAGTCTAGGATTTCGCCAGGACATGCTGATGGAGGAAAAGGTATTCCAATCTATAAAATACAATTAAGAAAGCTGCTGCTTTGTCCTTCAAGCAGGCTGTTAAAATTATTTATATTCATTTCCACTCTAAAACTGACAATGTCAATTTTGACAAAACTTCTGGGAAAATCTACTGGGAAATGTACAACCAAATGTTTCATTAAGAATTCCAGGGGAAAAAACGCCATTTTAATTGCAAATAATTAAAAGCAAGAAAGCCGTTAAGTGATCAGGGAATTTCTTAAATTTTAATTTCATATTGGCATTACGATAATGTTTTCATACCAGAGATTAAGTGCATTATTATTAATTTAGTAATTGGAAACTAACTGTGTAAAAAAATTAAATTACAATGGCTAAACACCTTCTTCTACTTCAAGAACTATCTGCATAAACAGATCTTGACATCTTTTAGAAACTGATATTTCCAAGTGTTCCAGGTGCTGTGAAATCAGACTTGCAATGTCCTTCAACAAAATAAAATGGAGCAAGCTTCATTGAGCGTGAGAGTTATAAGCACTCTGATTTTTGCTGAAAAATCTTCAACATAGTTTGAGACAATGGCTTTCACTTGCAATACTTCTTCAAGGAACTACTTAATGAAGAAACCTGTCAGAATTCTTGTCAACCCTAAGGCACTTGAGAACAGATCGCATCAGAGCAGGTTGAGTTGATCAATTTTTGGTTCACAAAAATTCTCATGTGATTCGGATTACTTATTAAGAAATACCATAAATTAGACCTTTTTAAAAATAATAATGGTTTCATACCTTTCTTTTACTGTTAATTCATTTTTCTATACTTACTCCTTGCAACCCTTTTCGGTTGTAAATAGTATCTGGTCTATTCAGAGCTCCAGAGACTATAACTCTTCTCTACATTGCTGTACTAATCAAATGTTCATTGCAGTGTTAGCACATATACTGCTTGACATAAACCATCAGCAACCAGCTTTTAGCACTGCAAGTCTGATTTCCCTACTGAAAATCCAACCCTTTAGAAACCTTTATAGCCTGAATTTTAAACAACCGTTAGGCAGTTATGGTTGAAAATTAATTCACTTTTATACCTGAATGAACATCTGAAAGTATATTGGCTTAAATTGGTGTAAATTTTCAGCAAATGCAGTTGAACTCAGTCAAGTTAAACCTGAAGAAAGTACAAGATGGGATGTTAAGGACATTACATTGAGAGACCCCAACTCCTAACTTCGAACTGAATCAAAACAGTCACATTACTCACAAACCCCATCGGCCGTTGAACTCTCAAATCCCCCTGCCGCTCATCTGAAGCACTTCAAAAGGATGATCCAATCTCTTACAACAAGTACATATCCAAGTACCACAACAACAAAATTACATTTATAGAGCGCCTTTCACGTCGGGAGGACATCTCAATAATAATAATAATAATAATCCTTGCATTTGATATAGCGCTTTTCACGTCGGGAGGACGTCCCAAAGCGCTTCACAGAATATACTGTAAAGTGAATTGACTGTATATTTGTGGGCGAACGCGGCAGCCAATTGCGCACAGCAATGTCCCACAAACAGTCGTAGATTGAAAATGACCAATTTATTATTGTTTTTGGTTTTGGAGGGATTATTATTAGGCTCTGTGTGGAGTAAGGAAACTTGCCCAAGGTTTCGCCCTGTGCCTGGAATGTGCTGGACAGTCAGGGGTCAGGACCTGAGCATGGGTGAAGGGTGGGCTAGAGGTGAGGGAAGGCAGAGAAGTGGGAGGGTGACTGAAGGCATGATCAAAGAGGAGGGTCTTGAGACCGGCCTTGAAGGAGGCAAGGGAGGAAGCGAGGCGAAGGGACTGTGAGCTGGAGTTCCAGAGTGTGGGGGCAGAGAGGCTGAAAGCCCGGCCACCGATGGTAGGGAGGGTCGGGCGGGAGACATGGAGCAGACCAGAGCCCGCTGAACGGAGGGAGTGGGCAGGTTGGTAGGGAGTCAGCAGGTCATAGAGGTAGGAGGGGGCAAGGCCATGGATGGCTTTGAAAATGAGGACGAGGATCTTGAACTCGATCCTCTGAAGGAGGGGGGGCCAGTGGAGTCGAGCGAGGGTGAGCGATGGGGTCATGGAGCCTGGTGGCGAAAGTACACAAGCTGCAGAGTTTTGGATGATCTGCAGCTTGTGAAGGGAAGAGTTGGGAAGGCCGATGAGGAGGGAATTTCCATAATCGAGCCTTGATGTGATGAATGCGTGGATGAGGGTTTTGGCAGCATGAGGGGTGAGGCAGTGGCGGAGTCTGGCAATGTTGCGGAGGTGGTGGTAGGCAGTGCCGGTCATGGCACGGATGTGGGGGAGAAAGGACAGTTCAGGGTCAAACAAGATACCCAGGTTCCTGACTGGCTTAGTGAGGTTGAGTGTGCAGCCATGGAGGCTGATGCTGCCAGCGCCTGAGGTGCGGAGGAGCTGGCGCGAGCCAATCAGGAGGGCCTCGGTCTTGCTGACGTTGAGTTGGAGAAAGTTGTCCCACGTCCAGGACTTGATGTCGGACAGGCAGTCGGTCAGGACCCCAGTAGTCCTGGAGTTGAGGCAGAGAGACAGAGTTGGGTGTCATCCGCAAGCATGTGGAAATTTACCCCATGTCTGCAGATGATGTCACCAAGGGGGAGCATGTAGAGGGTCAAGAGGAGGGGACCGAGGGCAGAGCCCCTGAGGAACCACAGTTGTAAGTAGCATGTGACTGAAACTGCATCAAGTATCTACTCTGTGATGCTTGTGAACCCAAGAAAGCTTTCAAATGATGTACAACTCTTTAAAAAAAATCTAAATAAGAGAACATTTCTTTTTTAAATCATTCACATTTTTAATCCTTAAAGGGGAAGGACAAGACTTAATAATCATTGTATTTTGCTGAGCCAGTGTCTAACACACATGGAAATCCATCACACCAATCAGAAATGGACATGACACAACCTTTATCCAACATCTATATAATTCTTGCCTTATAATCTTTCCTCCATTTAAATGGATGAACAACAACATGCACTTATAGAGCGTCCTCCATGCAGGGTAGTGCTTCAGAGCACTTAATAGTGGCGGAGCCTGAATTCGAGCCGGGGTTGGGGGGAGAGGGGAGGTGGCGGTAAGCACGGTAGAAGAGGAAGGTTTTCAGGCAGGACTCGAAAAAGGGGAGAGACGGGACAAGGCAGAAGGATTGAGGGAGAATATCCCAGAGTTTCAGGGCGTAGTGGCTGAAAGCGCGACCTCTGACGGTGGAGCGAAGGGTCCGAGGGACGAGCAGGAGTATGGTGCCAGTCGAGCCTAGGGTCAGGTGGTGCATTGGGGAATCAGGAGGTCGGAGAGGTAGGGAGGTTACAGAAAGGGATGGGATTTGAACAACTTGCATTTATATAGCACCTGTCATGCAGGGCAGCATCCCTGAGCTACGAATGGCCATTTGTCTTAGGCTCCAATAATAAAATAATAACCCTTATCCATGTCTTTGCCATCTCAATGTTGCACTCCTTGCTGGTCTCTGTAAATCCACTCTTTGGAAACTGTTAAAGAAACTGATCCAGAAATTTGCAGTTGTTATTACCCACACAAGGCTCTGGATGGCATTTCTTTCCTCATACATACTTATGTATCTGCTGCTGCAAAAACACATTAATAATATTAATAATAAAATTAACTGGCAGATAAACTACAACTTACTGTATTTACCACAACCAACCGCCCTTCCCGAATTCAAGATCCTCATCCTCACCTCGAATTCAAGATCCTCATCCTCACCTACAAGGCCATTCACGGCCTTGCTCCCTCCTACCTCTCCAACCTACTATCCCCCTACCTACCTGCCCGTACCCTCCGTTCCTCTGGCTCTGGTCTGCTCCACGTCCCCCGCCCCAACCGCCCTACCATCGGTGGTCGGGCCTTCAGCCTCTCAGCCCCGAGGCTCTGGAACTCCATCCCCAGTGCCTTCGCCACCTCCTCCCTTTCCTCCTTCAAGGCCGGTCTCAAAACCTTTCTCTTTGACCGTGCCTTCAGCTCCCCTCTCGACTCTCTTCCCCCTCCTCGCTCCCTCCCTTCCCTCCCCTCACCCTGACCATTTCCCCCTCCTTGCTCCCTCCCTTCCCTCACCCTGACCATTTCCCCCTCCTCGCTCCCTCCCTTCCCTCCCCTCACCTGACCATTTCCCCCCTGCTCGGGTCATGACCCAACTGTGCAGCGCCTTGGGACGTCCTCCTGACGTGAAAGGCGCTTTATAAATGGAATCTTGTTGTTGTTGTTGTTCCCATTATAAGCAACTTCACAACATGGGCAAACTTTGTAATTCTTAAAATGCTTATCATGTGAATTCCTGGATGTGGGGAAGCCAAAATGATCAGTTTCCAGGCAGGGCAGTAGGTTGCTGCCAACATCAGGTTGTGTATAGCGAGATGCTGTGGCAGAGACCTGATGACCCAGAATTCAGTTTTTTTTAGTATGGTGAGAGGCTGCTGGATTTCTGCCCATAATTTGGATTTTTTCATAAATAAATGACCCCCAGCTCAGGTCCAAAACACTAATTGTCCAGCGCCTTGGGAAGTTCTCCTGACGTGAAATGCGCTATACAAATGTAATTTTGTTGTTGCTGTTGTTGGGGTTCAGACCCCAATTATGCTAAAAACTATCCCACATTATAACAAAGCACATTAAAATGTATCTCTACTCTAGTAAGGTGCTCCCACCTGCACACTCATGAGAAACCGGAATAGCTGGACTCAAACCATGACCTCCAGATTCTAAATTGCCTATTTTTATGGCCACTGGGTCCAAGCTTCAATGTTCCTTTTTAACATGGATTAAATCAATTCTACAAAGCATAATTTTATCACTTAATGTAAAACACGTTGCCACACTGTATAGAGCTGAAAGAAAAGATGAAAAAATACTGTAAATTAGCTGCAAAATATAAAGACTTGAGGAATGCTGCAGTTTGACACCAAGTATCATGGATAGGGACCCACTCACCAAGAATCTAAATACTTTACTAGTGAAAGCCTTAATGATAGTCAAAACCAGACAAACCAGACTCCCTTGATGGCCTATAAGGCAACACTGAGCATATTAACAAGAGAGTCTCAGGTTTGAACCCTGAACGCTATAATCCTCACGTGGTGGAAGCTCTCAGTCAAGACAACAATTGGCCGCTACAAATGATTTCAGTCAGTGTTCGAAAGAAGGAAACCGGTACAATTCCCTCCTTCTCAATCGCAATCTAAAACCGAGAGTGGACATTGGAAATGATCGTCCTCAACTGTGAATTCACCTCCCCCCCCAACACCACATTGATTGTTCCTGCTGACATACACTGTCCCAGACTCACAGATTAATATGGGCATTAGCACAAGATGTCCACCTGGGGAACTATGTCCCAATGTAAAAGGATGCAAAAAAAAAGTCAAAATTGCTTTCAGAAGAGGGGAGTAGTGGAGAAATATTAACAGCAGAAAATCTATTTTAAAATAAAGTTATTTTAAAATCGAATTAAACTGAAACATTCCACTTAGGAAACGAGGGGTGGCCCAATCCCCCCAAACTCTTCTAGGCCCAAATTGTCAAAGGAAAATGCGGATCTAAACCATGCTCTTCAAAACTACCCAAACTAGTCAGGTGAACGAATCACCTCTCCAGCAGGGCAAGCCCGACCTGAACCTGGTGACCAAGTTCTTTAGCCCAGGGGCTGAGGTCGATTCTAGAGTCCCCACTGTTACCTGGCTGAGATCAGCTAGCTTATCACAAGAAAGAATCAAACCTCTGACCTTCTGGTCTCTATGGCTTCATATTGTACTGGCTCATCAGTTTATGCACTGGGCCATTGAAGGAAGAAAATAAGGACTCTTACATCATAATAATATTCCTTGCATTTCATACAGCACCTTTCATGTCAAAAGGATGTCTCAAAGCGCTTCACGGGATTTACTGTACAGTATAGTGATTGAATTTTTAAATTTTGCTCTCTATACCGAAGTCCAGGTCATTAATATATATTAAAATGAGCAGTGGTCATAATACCGACCCTTGGGGATACCACTGTATAGCACCCTCGCTCCAGTCTGAAAAACTGCACAATAAAAGATGTCAACAACAATTTGATTACTCAAAAGCTGACCATTTTGAATTTTTTGGGTAAGAAAATGTTGAGATCCATACCCCAATCACATGGTAAGCAAACGTTATAATGGGGATCTGCGGTATGTGTTGCTGTGTTCAAGTGCTACTTGTTGAAGTTTATATTTTCAGTCAATTTTCCATTAGTACCACTACCCAGATATCAGAATCTACCAAAATTGAGTGAGGGAAGGGAGGGAGCAAGGAGGGGGGAAATGGTCAGGGTGAGGGGAGGGAAGGGAGGGAGCGAGGAGGGGGAAGAGAGTCGAGAGGGGAGCTGAAGGCACGGTCAAAGAGAAAGGTTTTGAGACCGGCCTTGAAAAAGAAAAGGGAGGAAGCAAGGCGAAGGCACTGGGGGATGGAGTTCCAGAGCCTGGGGGCTGAGAGGCTGAAGGCCCGACCACCGATGGTCACCCATTTTCCACTGGCATCCCATATTCTAGGATCATAATCCTATGAACCCACCCTGCTCATATATGCAAAAAGAGTTGCACACCTTCACACAAAGCTCTTAAAAAAATCCAATTAATATCGAAACCATCAAGTTGTATAAAAAAGTGCAGCAATCCTCAAGATTAACAGGTAACAGCTTTTGACTGCGGATTATTTTAACATCAAGGTTACTGTACTTATGAGGACATTAAAAAAAGAGACTGAGGACAAACAGAAGAAATAATTCTGTCTGCTCAGTGAGCATTGCTAAGAGTAGTAAAATAGATAGGTTAGTGATTGGCTAGAGTTAACACGAGGATGAAGCCTAATAAATCCAAGGCATAATAATATTGGTGGAACAGACTGGCACTAGCAACTCCAAGCATTCAGAGAAGTAAATGACTAAAGCTTTTGTCTCTTTATTTTTTTCCATTTCAGCTAAACAGCTCTAACCATTTTGATATTACAAAACCTGTATGTTCACATTCATTAAATCAGCAATATCTCGGGAGTTATTTAAGTCACACGGTTTGTTGTTGTTCCCTTGTATGGTAATTGTATGGTAAGTTAAGCGTATTACCTCTGCTAGTTGCTCCAGTTGCTGGTTCACTTCAGGCAGCATCCACGTGTCTTCACCGCGGAGCCGCCGGAGCTCTTCCTGCTTTTGCTCTTTCTCATATTTATTGCGAGCCTGAAATAACAGAGACAAACGGCTTCATGTAAGGCAAGAGTGGCGAAGAAAACTACAAAATACATCTTTTTAAAAAAAAATACAAATCAGAATTTTAAAGGAGTAATGTCGACCATTTCTTAACCTACTTTTCACTAAAGTAAAATCCATTCTTCTTTTTATATTCCAGAGAGTTTAATTACAGTAACAATACCTTTAGAGTAAAGCTGGTATCCTTAAGAGCAGGACAATTCATTTATTTATGAAATAACCATTACCCATGGTTTAACAGTTCATACATACAACAAAGTACGTGGAGTCCTGCAGCGAGTTAGTGGACTCCTGCATTCAGAGCACTCCCTTTGCAAGTGAGAAGACCTGGGTTTGATTCCCAGGCAGGGCGATATGGTAGGCAAGTTTCTTATTCCAAACGCCTGTTTACCTAGCAGTAAGTAGGAACTCGGTTGTTAGTTGATTGGCAGATCGCTTTACTGGGGATAATAATCTCTAAAAAAAAAAGCAATAATAATTTGGTCACTCAATCCACGACTATTTGTGGGACACTGCTGTGTGCAATTGGCTGCCACGTTTCACCCATAAAATATACAGTCAATTCACTTTACAGTATATTCTGTGAAGCGCTTTGAAATGTCTCAAAGATGCTATATCAAATGCAAGGATTATTATTATCAAACTATATTCCCATTCATTCCCATTGCAAAAAACGTGTGATCCACAAAAGGTACCTCAAAGCATTAATGAGGGACTTCAGCTACAGCACAGATAGCAGAATGGTTTAAAGTCAATTCACTCTCTGCTTTCATTCAGATTCATTTCCTGAATGGTTAAATGACCTCTGTAACAAGACCTACAAAATTACTTTTTTTTAATATTCTGATAGCAGCAAAAATTATGTTATTAAGAAAACCATGGAAGCGATTGCTTAATTTTAACCTTTATCTGAAATCCTAACATATATCACAAAGACAATGGGCAATGCTTTCCCTCATTCATTGAATTGTATGGTTCAATCACAGTGGCAATTGTTGAATAAAATGCTGAAATGCCATTCAGCATTTTATCCAACAATATGTTTTGATTCATTCACGTTAATTAGCAAGGTTAGGATGTTCACTTCACATGTTCTTTTAGTTTTAGTTTCTTAATACTTAAAAAATGTATTGCACAGCTATAATACAACGACTTACATTATTCTGCATTTTTGGTAGCCCTTTCACGTCAGATAAATATTTGAAACATTTAACAGAGAGCATCAGCAGTGTCCTGAAGTACTGCGGACCCGCCTGACTTAGGAATCGTATTATCGAGACCACCACAAAGGGCTGGTTTGATTTTAACATTCCATTGCCAAACATGTCACCTTGGAGCCAATTCAGCTCCAAAGAGACCCCACTTACTGCTCCTCCTTCCCCCACTTCCTCCCAAGGATGATAGTCTAACAGATATGACAGGGAGGAGGAGCAGTAAGTGCGCCTTGGGACGTCCTCCCGACATGAAAGGCGTTATACAAATGTAATCTTGTTGTTGTTGCAGTGATGTGATATTGCTTTCACTTATATAGTGCCTTTCACGTAGGATGAATGACTCAAGATTTTTCACAGATATAATGGGACCAGGGTGAAAGAGTGAATTTAGGATTCAAAACTACATGGTCAAAATACATTGAACCTTTAGGCGGCTACTCCATTTATATCCTTTATTACTTAAAGACTTCAAACATCTACCTCCTTACCTATAATTGTATTCATGCTGACCTAACTAACCCTATTAGTGGACTATCTTGCATTGCTAAACATACAGGGTGCCAAATTGCACCATTGCAATACCATGTATTATGTATAATGTGAAGTTTTGACTCCTGGTGCACACACCACTTTCCACTCAGCATAGAGGTCTTTCAGGAATAGATGCAGAACTAAGCCAATTAACTTCAGAACTGTTTAGGATTAAGTCCCAAATATTTGGTAGAGCTTCCAAACATCCAGTCAACAGTTTAAACTCTTGCACATATTTAATTATCAGCAGAGCTGGAGTGATTAAAATACTTATTAGTTTTACTGTAACAGATTGCTGTTTTTTTAACTCTATGAGTAAAGAATAAAAAGCTTCCCATTTGTGAAAAGATCATGCTTATTCCAAAATTTCCAGAATTAGTCTTGTACTGAGAATTTAAACTTTTCATCTCTCTCTAAAATTCACTGCACACTTTACCAAATCTACAAAGAGTAATCGTGCATTAATTTGCAATTTATAAAAGCAATTCAAATCAACAAAAACAGTATGACACAGTAAACTGTGGAAACAAATAAATTAACTTCCCCCAGAGCAACATAGTGCTGCAGTCACGGAGTACAACCACAAGATCAATAATATGTTATAACCCAAGTGGGAACCATTTAACGTTGCAATATAATCCATCAAATAGATTTCCTTCCAGAATCCTGCTCACACAAATCCTTCCTGACAGTCTTTTCGGTACCTTATAAATAAATCTTACGAATATAATACATCGATAAAACAACAAAAGAGGCTCAGTAATTGAAACCTAAAGTTGCAGAAGACAACAACAGACAGGTACTGTATATGGTTTACATTTTCATCCGCATTCTCTTTATTAAGTGCTCTCTAAGGCATTGCAGGACTCAATTACATTATAAAATATAATCCACATAATGGTATTTCCACTAACTCACATCTGTAAATTCTTTCTGTTCAAAGTGTATTACTATGCAAGGCATACATCGAGTTATCCTCAATGGCCAGGATGATAGGATAATGGACTGGGTGGTGTTGTCCTGATTCATATACAATATACCAGGAAGGCACACATGTTCAATCTCTAGGGAGTTAACTACTGTAGTTCATTCAGGATAGCAGTAGGACCCAGGATTGACATTCAAGAGCCCCAATGCTAGAGAGCGGAAGAAAAGATCAGTAGCAGAGACCTGAAATCCTTCGTATAGTCTCAGTCCTAATTGAACTTACATTCAGCCTAACTTTGCCAGCAAACTATGTTCCAAATTAAAAATGAATTTAAGAACTTCTCCAAATTCTGCACAATCTCACATTTTAAGAAAGCTAAAACCGTGAGATATTTGAGGCCTGAAATTAGAGGTTTTTCCCCAAAAATAGTAGATATGTGAAACAGATTAAGTAAATGGGACAAAGCTTTATATGCCCAAGTACAGCATAAACAAGACAATCGAACAATCTGTGCAACAGAATGGTTCTGGCACTGTGGCCAAGGAAATGCCATCTGTGAATTGGAACTGATTGGGGTTCGATAACATAGATCGTAAAGTTAGATTGATATCTTGTAGTTTCACTAGATTACCTAGGCTATCATGCAACTTTATCTTCTTGTAAGTGTTAGCGGTAGTTAGCTAACTTTATGGGAGATATGTAGGGGTAGAGTCAATAACAGAGAAACTTGTACAAAAATTAAATTTTTGGAATAAATGAGTTTGAAGGTAGATTCTTTTCCTTTTCACACTGTATTTTCTTTTGAAAATGTGCAGAAGTGCAATTTTCAAAACACAAATGCAATTTGACAATGAATCAAAGTGCTGGCTATTCACTCCTCTAATGCCTAGTTTAGATTGTGCTTTTCAAGTCACCTCACGTCAAAATATAAAGTAAATTACCATGAGTTACACCAATTTAAAATGGAGACAAGCAGCTGAAATCACCTGCTGGAGGAAGTCCCACCAGGACCTCAATTCATACCCCTATAGGTGCAGGGTGTGCAAATCAATTCAGCCTCGATGTTAAAATTGTCCCTTACACAATTGCAGGTGATCAATTAACTAGCACTTGGTACCACTTAATTGATCTTCGTGATTGAACTTAATGACACGTGTATGAAGTTCTCTCTGGCCCCCGGTCACTACGATTGCAGAATGAAAAATATAAATTATGTTTTTCGCTTCTATGCAAATTCTATCCAGTATATAAACCAGGCACAAGTAATACGCATACTTGATTTCATTTGAAAATGCAATTCAAAGCTTCATTTGCTGCCAAATTCGGCTGAACATGCTGCCTGGTACAGACAACTGTAAACAGCGAATAGAATTGCCAAGGTAACTGCAGCACAGATCTAATGAAATACCCTACATATTTCACAGGTATATCTATGTAGAGTGAACTGCAAAGTGCTCGTGAGATATTTTGTATTTTAAAAAACAACCTTCAAATAAATCTATCAAATATACGTGAGTGTGTATATTTAACTAACTAGTCAATATTCCAATGATAATTCTGACTCAATAGCTCTACACTTAGCAGGTCTGAAATTCTAAGGAACATAACTCATATTTAATTGTAATTCGATATACCATAGTTACAATTATCGTATTGTCAGAAGACACACGACATCTCAGCACCTGAACTCCCATAGTTAAATCATAACCTTACAATCATTCCCTAAGAGCTGCCACTATTTATTATATATTATACTATTTACATTTTCACAGGAGATTTCATCGACAACATCAACAATTTGAATCGATATTGCACCCTTCGCATAGGATATCGTCTCAGAGTGTTTCACAAGGTCAGTCGGATACTGAGCAATGTTAAGTGGTCACAAAATGAATGAGGAGAGCTAATCAGTTTCAGTGCTGGCAGAAGCACATAACTGATGCTAATTTGCTAACAGATGACTTGCACTTCCTTGATGTTTACATTCTCATTGAAGATTACTCTTTATACTAGAATTGCCGCTGGACTATTTAGAAATACTCTGTTGTAATGCTATGGAACTGCTATGTCATTATCAACAAATTATTTAAAGTATAAGTTAGGGAAAGCAAAAATACAATACACCAAAGTCATCAGATCCCAAATCCCCTGCCGCCCACGCAAATCATACATGGTTATGAGATGTGACAGTTTTACTGAACTATAGACCCACCGAGTTACATTGATCATCCAACCTTGAGCTCAGGTGGTGAGTTTGTTATGTGGTCCAACATGAAGAGATAGACTATAACCAGCCC